AACCTGTGGGCTTATAGCCTGTTGGATCGAGTAGTGCGGAAGTTGCTACTTGTTCTATCGATAGCTCAGAGGTAGAGATCTCTGTCTTCTACTTGTCCAGCGATAGACTCAGAGGTAGCTCGAAGGTAATAGNAATAAAAGAAAGAAGTAAGTAGTGAGAGGAGTAAGTTGATCGTTGTATTGACTGCGCTCTGCTCTCTAGCTACTAGCTATTCTACTACTATATATATTGATGATAATAGATTCTAGAAGAATCTATCTAGTAATAGATTTAGTAATCTTAAACGTAATAGATAGATAGATTGGGTCAGGGATCGATAGATTGCTTGGATTGTTGAGATTAGGGTGCAATGTTGACTTGGGTCAGGGATCGGTATCGTCCCAACATAGATTAGAGATTGATGGATTGGTTCTCTCAGAGATCAGCTGAATAGCTTAGATCTCTAACAAAAGCAAAGCTTAGATTAAGAGCTATAAAATAAGCTACTAAAGATCTAAATTAGGTAATTATTTACAGAGATAATAGCGTTTTTGAGATCCCAATGTAGAGACCTAATGACCAGACTACCCGCGCTTTGCAGGGGCCTTCCACCCTAAGGGAAATAGCTAATTAAAGTCCCTTCGTGTGTGCCGGAAAACTTACTTCGTGGGCCAGAACTAGTCAATAAGAGCGCAAAGTCAGCAATTATCTCCGCGCCATGCTGTATCTCATTGGCTCATTCCGGCCCACAAGGATTTCCGCTACATAGGGACCGATACGAGAATAACGCTGCTTTATCGTTTCTTAGTAGAGCGGCGGCATCAGCGTTTTTAGGCAGAGTAAATGGCGACAGCGGCCGAGGTCGCTGTTACCAGTAATAAGAAGGGTTTTCCTCTTTGTAGAAAAATTCTATTTACTTCATAGCTATATATGCTATATTTCTGTAAGAGGGTTCTATAAGTTTATAAATTTTTAGATTTTTGTAAATTTTGATTAGACAGTCGTCACGTGATGAGCCACTAGTATAATGTATGCCGGAATGTTTCTGCCGACTCTCCAACGTTGAAAGGCACATTGCTATCAGCGGAATGACTATGATCAGCGTTATTTTCTCTATTGGTTAGATCATCTTCACAAAGTGAAAATACTACGATATCTTGATTAAGGTATATCGTGTCTGAACTAGGTTCGCATAAATGCTTACTGCGTGGACAATAAGGCCACCACCTCATGATAGTACGGCTGCTGATTAGCGGCAACAATTCCGCTGCTAACATGCAGTATGACACCTGTCTTCAAAGCCGTAACAGCTCGAACAGCAAATATTCTCTCTGAATAACAAAATATCATCGCGGTACTCCAACAAACACGCATCATCATAATCTTAACCTTGCATCCTGCAACATCCAATCATGGCGCCAAACCTCCACCTCTACCACACCCCAGGCTCCTGTTCCCTGGTCTCACATATCGCTCTAAACAGCGCTTCACTTTCTTTCAACGCAACAAATCTCCATGCAGCGCGGGGCTTCCCAGCATCGCAGCTACATCTCAACCCCAAAGGCCGGGTCCCGATTCTAGAAATCGATGGTGAACTCATCACCGAAACACCGGCTATCCTTGCCACCATCTCTGCTTTGGCACTTGAGAAGAATTTACTTGGAAAGGGAGTGATGGAGCAGGCGAGGGCGTATGAGTGGATGGCGTGGTTATCAGGGACAATGCATGGACAGGCTTTTGGATGCTTGTTTCGGCCTGCGCGATTTATCAAGGATGAAGCGACGCATGAAGCTCTGCGCGAATCAGGTAGGAATCAGGTCAAGGAGTGCTTTGAATACGTTGAGAAGAAGTTGGAGGCGAGGACCTGGGCTATTGGTGAGGGCTTTACCGTGGTCGATGCGTATCTGCTGGTGTTTTATAGGTGGGGTAACATGTTGAAGATGGAGATGCGGGACAAGTATCCAAACTATACCAGGCTCGCGGATGCTGTCATGGAAAGGGAAGACGTAAGGAAGACCATTTTGAGTGAAGGCATAAGTGCGCTGAACGAGTGAGCAGGTCAAGTAAGGGTGTCAAGATGGTGTGGAGATAGCACCGAGAATGCAATGACGTGTACACAACATCCATTGCTAGAGTGATATCCGACACGCTTTTTTTGAAGTTACCCTCTATCTAATTGGAAAAGTACATGAACAATAACCACTACATGAAACGAATGCTCCTTGAAACATGTGTTTAGTCATAACCGTAATGCAGTATCGTAATTAGTAAAAATTCTGCGAGAAGCCACTCCATTATCAGGAGCAAGATCCGTCGCGCAGATGCTCACAGTTCTTCATCATCTTCATGAGCACAAAGACCAAATTTGCAGCCATCACTGACATCAGATTCTACCTCGGACTCGGATGGAACATCTGTACCCTGAGTGATGACGTTCATCACAGCCAGATTATGTATCTCGCTCAAGTCGTACATGTTGTGCACAAAACGGTTGATTGCGCTGCGATTTGAAGTCTTTGAAACATTGGCAGGCTCGACATCGAACTTTGCGTGTTCCGGCATAATGATGTCTTCAGCCTGGGAGCATGTTAGTGGGCTGGACATGCAGTCCTTTACGACCACACATACCTGATCCAAGACTTCGTATAGATCCAGTTTCCATTCTGGGTCATCTAACAATGGGTCATTGGACGCATCCAAGGCGTGTGTTATTTCACAAGAAACTAGTTGATGACAAGGAGGACCCATTGCATTATCCCAGTGCCCACGATAGGTCCAGGTCACTGTGAGAAAGGAGCCATCTCGCAAAAAGCTCTCCAGCACCGATCGGAGTGCTTCGATTGCTTCCTCTAGAACATTCAAGCGAATATAGCATTGGTGCATGATAACGTGAAGTTTGAAGTCCTTCTTGTTCTTGATATCAAGTAAGCTGCAGAAGTCGTCAAACAATAACCCACTGCGAACTAGTGCTGTTTCGCTTAAGGTATGTCTACATTTGGAAGAAAGAGCGTGTTGCTGTGGCGGAGTACGGTAGCGATCGATATTGCAATGAACTGTCAGACTTCGGATCAGTTCTATTGTAGGGAGGCCGAGATGAAAAGCGTCGTTTTGCAGGACTAACTCAATGCGACTCGATTGGCATTGTAAGAGATCTTCTTCATTGAGAGACTTGTAGAATGAAACTCCGATCTCATGTGCAGTAAGGTCGCCGACGTAGTCTGGGGATAGATAGTGTGGGAGAGCAGAATGATCAAACAACTGACTGAGATCGCCATCTTCCGCACGGAACATGCATTGAGCAATGTCTATGAGGCGTGGGAACATTGCAATCGTGTCTGGTGGACAGTAGGGGCATGTGAAGGTGTAGTGTTGCTTGACATGCTGTCGCGCCAGCAGATGGGGGGATGTTCTGTCGGGATCATAGTGCCATAGGTGCTGATATATCATGTCTCGGATCTCTCGTGGCAAACGATCTTGCATTTGGGCTGCAAGGTTTTGATTCCAGATCTTGCAGTATGGGATTATGGTGCGATTGACGATGGTATCGTTCAGCCAATCGCTGTACTGCCCATGTAGCATCAAGCGCCTCGTGGCGAGCCATCGCTTCTGCTCTTCTAGTCGATCTTCTTCACGTTTGATGTCTTTTTCGCTATTTGGGATTAGCTAGATCGTTCTCGTGCGTCGGACATTCAGGGACTATCAGATACGCTTGTGAGAACCGGGCATTTCTGTGCTTTGCCCTATATGTGAGTCAGTATTGACGTATAATGATGTATTAGTGGTCTTACCAAAGCAACTTCTCTCGTGCTTTATCTAGCTTGTTTTGTGCGAGAGCTTCGGATGAGTTCGTCATGTCTGCAGTCACAGATTGCGGTGTTGCACGCCAGAATGGACGAAGAGAAGTTTAAGTCAGTAGAGAGAAAGGGAGAAAGTTTGCTCTGTATTTGCAGTGCCAGGACAGGGTTGGGAGGGGTACCTGCCGTCAATACAAGAGCTAGGCCAGATCCAGCTTGGGGCTTTCCCCACGGCGCCAGAATGTCGCGTAGTCATGTGATCAGAGTGTATTAGGGAGCTAGATCCAACTCGTCGGTGCGATTGAGTAGCCAAAATGTCCTGCCTCTACCTCCCTCTATCTTGCGCAAGTGCGTGGATATCAGTGTTATCCCAGTCCATATCGCTTCATCATTTCATACCTTTTTAGCACCACAAGCTAATCTGGAGTAACGGATCCTGAACATCAACCCGCTTAAGAGAAAAGGTATCGCAGAATATAAGCATAATATCATTTTTAGACCCAATCAGGGTGAAGAACCACAACGCCAATTTCTTAGCGGACTGAACCACACAGAAAGGTCATATCAACCGATGGAAAAGATAGGAGCAAGAGTAGTATTTTTGGGTTATCATTAATGTCTATCGTGATGTCTTTGATTTTTTTTCGGAGACTGGATGACACAGTCAAAATCAGCCCTTCATATGTAGCAATTACCCATAGCTATCATAGCGCAATGAACGCTCAAGAGGGAGGTGAGGTAGGCTCAGGGACACCAGGAGGGCAGTGCCTAATTGCTCAGTTAGCTGGATACTAGTGGACGTGTAGCGAAGAAGTTACTTACCAGTGGTCATTGTGGGGCTCACAAGCCTCGGCAGGCGCAGCAGCAGCCTCACTGGCGGTTGCAGAGGTGACAGCAGAGGTGGCAGATGGGGTGGAAGAAGAGGTGGCGGCTGGAGACTCCTCAGGCGCAGCGTAGCGACCAGGGCAACCCACACCGGGAACAGCAATGTCATAAGCATAGGCCTCAAGAGCAAAGTACTGAATAGTGTCACTGTCCCTAGCGGAGTATGTAGCGTTGTTCTTAGCAAGGTTGATGACACTAGGGTACTTCTCCTCTTCCTCATTCGTGTAGTGCTCTACGACACCCTCACCAACTGGAGGAAGATGAAGAAGGCGGTGTATAAGATCCGAAGCCCAAAAGTAGTTGGTGGCACCATTGGCGACATTGTAGCCATACATGCACATGGACTCAAGAGGCTTGCGGAGCTCGTAGGAGAGGTCGCAAATGACAGTCTCTGAGGTTGCATTAGATCCACGCCAATGGCCGGCCCATCCTGATTTCTATTAGTAACTAATATCTCTTCAAGTTTTGGAGTGAGTTTATGTACCATCCTGGTGACAGTTTCCGTCAATGTCATCACATCGGAAGAGAATACCGGCCTTGTCGCCGTCGACGATCTTGGTGTACCAACCAATAGGTTCACCGGTAGGAGAATCACCAAAATACTTGGTGTAAATATGGGACTCGTTTCCCCAACGGAGGATGTGATCGCGAGCATGGCGGGCGAGGAGCACTGCCTCGTTGAGCCCTTTCTGGAGCATCGTGCGTTGAGTAGCATTGCAGGATGCATGGATAGGGAAATTATCGACGGCACCAGCATTCCATGTCGAGTCACCGACAGAAATTTGTGCGTTTTCGCTGGTAGTGATTGTGAAGGTATCACGCGGGGCGATAGGTCCGGCCATGACGGCGGAGGCTCCAAGGAGCAGGAGAGCAGAGACACGAGCAGCCATTGTGAAGTTGGTCTGAGGGACAGCAGCCGAGTCTGGGATTGGATGTGAAATTGATATTGAATTCCCGAGGCGCTGGATGCTGGATACTGGACGAGGGTAGCTGGAGACAAGCTGCAGGCTCTTTATATATCCCACGAGGCTGGCCTGTTGTTAGTTGGCACTGTTCGTCTCGGTACTCAAATTCCGAGCTCACGTTGAACAGAGCCGCCGAGGCTTGAAGAAAAAAAACGCCTCCACCTGGCAGCTGCAGATACACCCTGGTCTGATGCCCGTTCAGAGAAGCCGATACTACACAACACGGGCCTGAAGATGCATCCAGTGCTTGGTCTGACGTACAGTCTCTGCGATAGAGCTTGGCTTTCAGCCGCGTGGGGTCTGGAATACATGTTTCTCCGCTCAAGCGTGATTTTGGGGTTGGTTAAGTACCATGATGGGCGCCCAATGGAGAGAAATTCTCGCTCCCAAGATACAAGCTGTCGGGATTCATGGCCATGTTGAGGAAAGCCGAATGTGGTACATTGTGACATCCTTGTATTACTACAGGGACCTTCCAGACAGCATTTACTGTCGAATGACATACTTTCGTAGAGCTGAAGATATTGGGATAGTCATATGGATCTCCAATAGGAACTGATCAGTGATGCCAAGCTAGACTTACTATCTTATTTTTGACCTGGTTCAGAGGTGAGCTATTGACATCGACAAGATTCGAGAGACGAAGACGTATTTTGAATACTTCCAGCAACAGAACTGCTGTCTAGATGTGCGTGTAGACTATCACTACCGCTCTGGTAGTAAAAGCCGCAGCACCACCCACGCATCCCACTATCCATGCACCCAGCATACATCGCCAAGCTGTCCGCCACCCTACTTGTGGCGCTATTCCCGCCCACGTACAGAAGACGCTTGTCGGATTTGGGGCATACAGAGACCAAGCGCAGGCCATGATTCGATGTGTTTCCGGATGTAAACAAATGCCAAGGGCAATCAATCCAACACGGTGCTCAATGCCAAGCGCATCCATGGCGCCTCTCGTCCAAATAGATGGGACCCGGAAAGTTCTTCGTAGGGTTCCAGAGGCCCTGCACCTTCGAACCGTGGTGCCTTTCCTCCGCTCCGCTGATTCCACCGAGGCTTGACCACACGGTTATATCAGGACAGGTGCGCTGACCACTCTTGTCGCACACACACCTCGAGACCAGTCGGCTCGCTTTTCTAGCACATTCACTACCCCCTGGCTATGCCTTCGACAATGCACTTCATGCTCTCTTCAGCAGTCCTGCTTCTTGCAGGGTCTGCTGCTGCCCAAACCTTGACCCCAACCCCAACCAGCACAAGCTCTGTGGCCCGCCGGACTACCTCTGCGCCTGCCACAACGTCGTCTCCAACATTTACTGCCGTATCAGATTGCCATCCACACAAAACCGTACTGTAGGTCACCAACTTCAGAGATTGGGTGGGATATTTTGAACTGACATGAGACAGATGGTGCATGGTTGGTGAGGAAGAGTACCAGGTATCTGGGCCTACAGCCACCGAGGAATTTCAATCGCAATACACAGACTGTCATTCGCATTCTTCTGGAGTGTATGTAAAGTTTCCACTCTGTAGAGCCGACACTAATTTATCCAGATACTGTGTCGACAACAGGGGCGAAGATGTAAAGATCCTTGTCAATGGCGCAGGAGAAGAGTCGCACAGCACAGAAGGAGAGTCGCACAGCGCAGGAGATTCGCATGACCATGGAGAGGAGCCTGCAGCTGGCTCAGCTAGCGAGTCCGGAAACAGCGGCCAGCACTGTCACGAGCACGCTGGTATCCCCCACTGCGTTGGTGGAAGCTCTGGACCAGTATGCGAAGCCCCTGATCGTAACTACAATATTGGTCTTCGAGTCGGTCTTCTTTTCGTCATCCTCGTCACCAGCGGTATCGGAGTTTTCACTCCCGTTCTGACCAGGAAGTTCAACCTCGTCGGCGCTGACAACATCATCTTCGTTGTCTTGAAGCAATTCGGTACCGGTATCGTCATTTCGACTGCATTTATCCATCTCTTTACTCACGCTCAACTCATGTTCTCGAATGAATGTCTTGGCAGACTAGAATATGAGGGTACCACGGCCGCAATCTTCATGGCTGGTTTGTTGCTTTCCTTTTTGGTAGACTATCTCGGTGCTCGTTTTGTACAGTGGCGCCAAAGTAAGCATTCAAGCAGCGGCACAGAGGTTGCAGCGGTTGCCGGCGACAACAAGTCTGGCGAGGTCGCCTCTACTCCTAGCTCGGATCAAGGGTCTGACCACGGTCACGCCGGACACGCACATGGACCCATGCGCATTGCTACCCCCATGGAACAGAAAATTAACGTCATGAACCTTGAGGCTGGCATCATCTTCCACTCCATCCGTAAGTTTATGCTGATGCGCATGGTGCCATCCAACTAACGCGCTTCTTAGTCATTGGTATCACCCTCGTTGTAGCTAGTGATGGGTTCTTCATCACCCTCTTCGTTGTCATTCTCTTCCACCAGATGTTCGAAGGCATCGCTCTGGGAACTTGCATTGCTGATCTTCCAAAGGCTGCAGCGGGAACGCTACAGAAACTCATCATGGCTGGTACCTTTGCACTCATCACACCCATTGGCATGGCCATCGGTATTGGCGTGCTCGACCACTTCAACGGCAGTGACCCCAGCACTCTCGTTGCTATCGGAACCCTCGATGCTCTTTCGGCTGGTATCCTTGCTTGGGTAGGTCTCGTAGAGATGTTGGCGCGAGACTGGATGAGCGGAAAATTGATGAACGCGGGTCTAATAAGGACTCTGTCCGCGATGTCTGCCCTGGTTTCCGGACTCATTATCATGAGTGTTCTCGGCAAGTGGGCGTAAGGATAGGACTGAGGGTGTTGCATTGTACGATGTCGAAGTCATGACTTTACTTAACTGCATTTGAAAACGCATTCAAGATCTTTTTGATATAGACCGAGATATGGTTGTACTGACCTTTGAGCTATACCCTTTCTGCTTCAGAGCGGATGAATAATGGATCTACTCCAAAATTGTCGCCTTCATACTTTGCTTTCCAAAACTGTCCCAGACCTCGGCACTCCATTCTCCTTGGCCTGCTGTACTATGGTGCTCGGTCGAACTGTTCTTCAACAGGATGCGATATGGCTCTTCAACATACAACGGGCTCATAGCACGGTATGCTATAGATTTGGGGACCATTTCCATGTCACCACTCTTGCTGGCATCCCTCCAAAAGTCTAGCATGTTGATCAAGTTTAGTGGTCCATGCACAACAGAGTCGCGGTGTCCCTCAACCTCCCTACACCACTCAGGCAAATAGTGTATCTTGTGTCCGTTGAACGTCAAGGCCGAAAATCGGAACAACGAAGTTCGCGTCTGGCAGAAATCCCGTTCGTACTGGCCCTTGGGCAATGGCACTTCTTCCGGCTTTGGTGGTGCTTTCATCGGATTCTCAGGTGTGAGTTCACGTTGAAATACCCAATTGCGACGATCTGTCAATGCAATGCCATGGTCGTTTGAAAATGTTTTTTCTACCCCCACTACCAGCATTTCCCCGCCATTCTTCAGTTTCTTGGGCTCGGCGCTAAGAAGCCTAGTAGTCTCCTCAACTTCCTGTCCTACCCTCAGCAGCGCGTTGCAGTCTTTTGACCATTGCAGCTCACCTCCTGCCCACATCCGTCTTGTGAATGGGTGGAGTGGATTGACAGTGCGATCCGTGCCGTCTAGGCCCAACTCGGATTCGACAACGGAAGGCGTGAAGTAGACGAGATGATAACCGGGTGGGATAGGTGTCCCGGCTCGGGGCGAACTAAAAGATGAGGGAGTGTGTTTCAGTGTCATATTGAGAAGATGGAGCTGGTTTGCATCGAGAAGCTGTTTCCGGACGGAGACTGGGCCGTTCTGGAAGCGGGTGAGCAGTTCGTCGCGTGCTTCTAATGCGGAGGCTTGGTTGCGGGATGTCGTAGCGAAGAATCGGCGGGCTAGGTGCGACATGATGAATTGTTTCTATTCCGACAACTTGCTTTCCTGATTGACCTGTTTTACTGACTCAGATTGTAGTTACGTGCAGGAGCGGGTGATGATGTACTGTACTCAATGCCGATGCATAGCCGATATCGATAACGTTCTCCTTCACCACCCGCATGCGCTAACATGGAGGTAAATGCAGTATTAAAGGAATTCCGTAACTTTTTTGCATGAATCAAGTTTCTATGATCCGATTAAACATATTGAAGAAAAATCGCTATATCCTTTGTCCCTGGAGAGGCCTTTGGACGAATCACATTACCACAATCTTGCCAAGCCGCCAACTGCTGCCTTGCAAGACCTGATAACCGACTTCGGCTTCTTCCATAATCCACGCTGCGAGCCGGCAACATGTCTGAACGGCCGCGCAAACGCGCCAGGTTAGCATGCGTGACATGCAACGCACGGAGAGTGAAGTGCGATGTAACCGATCGACAGCCTTGCAGCAACTGTATGACCGCTGATTTGCAATGCGAAACCCGAGAATCGAAGCGCGGAAAGCATGTTAGAAAGCCGCGCGTCGAAGCTGAGGCACGAAGCAAAACGTATGCAAATATTCCCCAGGGATCTTTTCGTGAGGTGTAAAGGCTGACATAAACGTAGTCCACCTAGCTTGCCGGTGTTCAGCCCGCAACGGCATGAGGATGAGGTTGCGGCATCACACGTCCTGGCTTCTTTGTCGTCGAACTTCAACAGTCCTGTCAACACTCAGGCGCCGGTCACTGGTAATCAGAATCAGTTCCCTACGCCATCGACAGCACCAGAAACAAGTAACAGCCAAGCAACAACGGAGAATTTTCAGCCAGAAGATGCCGTCTTTCTCGGCGAATCCAGTTCATTACGTTACGTGGCAGGAGCGCCCACCCCTGCTGCAGTAGAACTTCGCGAGTCTTGCTTCCGCCATGCTCTTCCCAGAGCGGTTAGAGAAGAAGCAAATGTTCCGGAATGGGAGGCTGAAAGGCGTATCGCGAGGAAGAAGGCTCTGCAGGCAGAAGGCGCGTTTTCATTCCCCCCTGCCGACATCCGAAAAGAATTACTAGAGGCCTACTTCAAATGGTTTCACCCGCACTTTGCCATCATTGACGAAGACGATTACTGGATCACTTACAACAGACTAGAAATGTCTGCCCTGTTATTGCAGGCGATGTTGTTCATTGGCGTGATTCACTGTGACGAATCAACTCTGAAGAAACTAGGATGGGGCAATCGTCACCGAGCAAAATGGTTCTTTTACATTCGCGCAAAAGACATTTACGACGCGACTTACGAGACTGACAAACTTGCTGTGATCCAAGCCTTGCTTCTGATGAGCTTTTGGAGGGCAGGCGCTTTGTTGGAAAAAGATGCCCGTCATTGGCTTGGAACAGCCATCAGTCTATCAGAAACACGGGCACTACATCGCTGTGGGGGGAATTCAGAGGAAAAACTTACCAGGGTTAAAAGAAGACTGTGGTGGGCCATTTACATCCGTGAGAGACAATGCGCGGCCGCTCTGGGCCTGCCATGCCGGATACGCGACAAAGATTGCGACGTAGAGCCATTGTCATATTCCGACTTTGCATATGCCTTTCGATCCTCTTCTCCAGCAGATGTCCGCCACAGCTCGACTGCTTATGCAATAAGTATGGTGCAGTTGGCAGTTTTTCTCGGCCGCGTAGTCGATGCTGGCTATCTACCCGGACGCACACTGACGTCCGAAGACACGACCAGGCTCCGCGATGAACTATACCAGTGGAAGAATGACCTCCCCAGCATCATGCGACTTGACACCGATGCTAACGGCGTGCCCAACTTCCAAGCTAGCATGCTCCACCTCGCATACAACAATCTCCTCATTCTCCTTCACCGAACCAGTTTCATCATGGATGAGAGCCGCAGTGTACCAGCCGAAGGTAACGTCGCGCTCCAGGCCGCTGCACGCAACTCACGCATAGTTGAAGACATGCTACCAGATAGTAGCATCTGTCACGCTCAGATGCACGTCATCACAAACCTATTCAACACGCTATGCATCCACGTCGTCCACTTCCGCCGCTCGACCGGCATTAACCGCACACTAGCCGAGCACCGTGCAAAGCTTTGCCTGCTGGGTCTCCGGGAGCTCCAAAAGACATGGGAAGTAACGAATTGGGTTCTAGAGCTTTTCTTCCACTACATCGATCGAGATACCGCGTCCAGGTTGATCATGGAATCAGACGAAGCAGGGAATCATCCTGGCACTGCTCAACTATCTGATACTTTAAACCAATACCCGGGGCAACAGCAAGGGAATGCTCGTAATGTACAACCACCGGGGATCGTCACGCCTTCTACTCCTAGTCCAAGCCCTTGGCCTTGGACGCTGGATGAGGCGGGTCAGTACCTCTTCATGCAGATTGAGAATGATTTTGCATTTGGCGAGGGTGGCTTGCAGCATTTGAGCCCGGAAGACTTGGTCCTTACGGGGGCACCGGCTGATTTCGTTTTCAATCGGGGGCAGGAGTGAGTGGGTAGTATTGCTGGGAAGGTTGAAAAAGGATGAAAGATGATTCACATGGGGATGGCTAAAGTAATAGTAGCGACCGCGACATCGTGAAAGGACTGTAGAGAATGTCTCGTATTCACCTATGCTGCCCTTGTTCGTTCATAAAGTATTTATAGTTTCATAGACTTCCATCCAATAGCCATTTCGTTCGTGCTTCTCAACTCGAACTAAGTTGTGCATCTGCCGGCAGGCTCGTATTCTTCTCCCGTCTCACCATAAGCACCTTCGCTATCCCCAATCATACGATATACCTTTCTCCTCCCCGTGCACTAGACCTCTTTAGTTATCAGGTATTTCTGGTATAGGGAAGCAGGCCATGTAGTGTGCTGCGCAGCTTCTGATTGGGAAACCTCGATCAATCACTCCATTGAGCCATGCTGGGACAAACAGTAGACGGTGCCTCTCTGATTCAAATATGCCACCTCCCCAAACTATACCTTATACGGTACGAGTCAGAAAATGCCATTCTATTATATCCAAGCGTCGCTCGACTAAGTGGTCACTGAGTAGCTTACTAATTCGGTCTCGACCCATCTATGGGGTGCATAACACTCACCTTCTTATATAGTCAAACTCTGCACATTTACGATTATCTTACTTGCGTTATGGCCAACTTCATTTCTTGTACGCAGCGGCATGCTGTGTCAGCGCTGCATCTTCAATGCTTTTATGATCGCCACCTCAATCTAGGCGGATCATTAGTAGGTACATAGATGAATTGCCGTTTAAAGGGTAAAGCGAGGTCTGATGACGGGTATTCCCTTTCCCCCTCTAGGCTGCTCGAGCTCTCTTCGGACCCGATCCTGCCTTATGTACGGCATCATGTCATAGGAATTACCATAATCTCATCCTCTTTCCAGGACGACCCGCAAGGCACAACCTATTGGGCATTTCAAACATGCGCAAGTACTCCCCTCGCTGTTACTCAGCATACACATGCCTCCTCATTCTTCTCCCCCTCACGGTACATAAAGCCTGGCTTACATATCAAGCGCAGTGTCAAGACGGTACGGATCCAAACCACCACCATGGGTGTAGCAGGAACACAGCGTTTCCTGTGGGCAATAATGGTCTAAGTCATTTTGTTGGAGATTCATGTGGGGCGGGAGCGAGATTGCGGTGGTTGATTCCGCCTGCGTATGAAAAGAGTAGTACGTTTTCTTTTTCTCCCCACACCCACATGCACTACGTTCTTCTACGACTATTCTTTGTTTGTTTGTTTGTTAGAAGATCCGGTCGGCTAATAAAAATTATGACTGTTAGAACTATGTTGTGGCCACGGCGAACAAGGTCCCGTCCCAGGTGGAACTGAGAGAAAGATCCCGTATCCTAGGGATTGGTGCGAGGCTGGGCTGGGAAATATCTCTGCGTACATACGATATCACCCCAAAAAAAAACACTCTTATTACTCTATATTTCATTTGTACTGGCTTGGGGGTATTAACGTATACAGTGCATGCCCGCCACACCAAAAGGCCAATATCTACTTGACGGCGCACAGGCGCATTACTTGCAGGTCGATAGCATGGATATATCCCAGGATACGAATACATGTATGCAGCCGGGCGTGGGCGGATGGAAATATTGTGCCAAGCAAGGTTCGAGTTGGTGAAGGGTACGGGTAGAAGATGCCATGAACTCTGTCAGTGAGATACTTTAAGCACTGAGCTTGGAGGAAGAGGACGAACCCTCGGAGGGTAAGAAGGGTGGGAAGCTACAGTCATGTGCATAGGAGCGCATACGTAGCTTCCGTCCAAGAAGACCCTGAAGAACTCCCCCTCAAGGACTCGTATCACTCCAAACCGATATACATACTAATATACTCATAACTACACACCTAATAAACATATTATAAAAACCTACACTCCTATCAACAAAAAAAACCGACAACCCCCTCTCAACCCTCCACTAACACTCAATACGTCACTCACCCTTCCTAAAACCCCCCTCTTCACACATACCTCCCCTTTCTTTTCCCCCTAACTAGCTCAACCAACCATTCCACCGCACAAACCCCCCCTCATCCCTGCATACAACCCCCTTCTCACACACGCACTTAAACACCATACATACGCCCTGCATGCGCAACCCACAACCCACAACCACAACTGCCCTATAGCATCGCTGCAACCGAAAGCCCCCCTCCCCCCCTGCATGACGCTGTACCGGAAGAAAGCAAAGGATGTTAGTTCGGGAAGAAGCAAAAGGGAAAAAAAAAAGAAAGGAAGATGATGCGGCGAACGGGGTGATTTGGGCTGATCTGATCTGATCTGATCTGATCTACGTGTGGTGCTCATGTGCATGTGCGCGATGAGATGATGATGATTATCAGTGGTTAGGGAGGTAAGGGCGGACAATCCACGTGCACTGTCTTACCATCATCTTGTGAATGATGATGGTTGTGATGACGGTGGTGGTGTTGGGTGTCATCATCGAGATTTCCAATCCCAACTAACTGTTCATCGGTATGACTATTACCCCATTTGCCTAAACAGTATCAGGATAGAAATTATCCAACGATGGGTTACACACACTTTTGAGGCAGCCAACAAACATGCAATCGAAATAAAATATTTTTATTTCAACCCCTTAAAAGGTAATTCAGAACGAAGAGTGGTAAGAAGAAAAAAGCAAAGGGATAGTAGAAGAAAGCCATGTACAGAAGGGCAAGAATTGTTTGCCACCCCAGCTCCCTATTGCACGATCTAACCACCCAACCCCCCTTTCCCACGCGCCATGCTTGATGCCATAAAAAAAGAAAGGAAAAGAAGAAACAACTGAATCAAACATGTGTCTCCAAAAAAGAAACAAAACGATGAAAGCTTGTAATCCAAAACGGAATAACACAGCGATGCTAGATCGAAGGCTTTATCGAAGGCGAATGCAACTTTATAAACACCAAAGCACCATAACTATGCGACTCTTTCCATGGGAACGCCGTGACTGCCGATTTGCACCAGAGAATAATAAAAATTTACAACTTCGTAACCTGGTGCGTTACTACTGGGGCAAGCTGGACGCGAAAAACGGTCCTAGGACAATGTTCCAGTGCCTTTGTCTGCCGTTTACCGTCTGCTGTCAGACGTTGAAACGTGCCATCATATACCTTGTCCTGTTTCTGCTTGCTGTCCGACGCTTGAGCTGCCATGGTTTTCTCATCGTCTTTTTCTTCGACAGAATTTCTTTGTAGGTTTTTGTAATTAAGCGTTTTCTTCCTCTACTCAACACGACATAAGCACATGCTCCAGACCAGAAAAATGGCTAGTAGCAGTGCATGAAACTCGTTCAGTGGCATCACCTTCCGTCATCGTTGTCGTGCTTCTTTGACCGATCGCGGCCTTCGTAGTCGCTCTCATCATCATAGCGACGACGTCGCTCACGTTCGTGATGATAGCGGTCATCATCGCGATCCTCGTCATCTCGGTCGTCCTTGGAGCGGCGGCTGCGTCTGTCACGGTCCTCTCTCTCTCGTCGTTCATGATCGTACTCGTCATCCTCTATGCATCTGTTAGCAATGCTTGCTTAACCAACTCATTGACAAACTCACCTCTGCTCTCGCGGATCTTCCTTGTACGATCAGCGAGCTTCTGAATCTCTTCCTTGGTCAAGACTCGGAGTACAATCACACAGTCCATGCGCTCTTCGAAACGTTCCTTGGCCTGTTCCAAGGCCTCTGGGTTGACTAGGCGTCGGTCGATCCTTGTCCATCGAGCTCCAACAGGAATGTCCTTGCCCTTGAGAGCATCCTTGTGGGGTGCTACACCCTCGCGGATGGGCTCAGGATCCTCTGGGAACTTGGCAGTAGGCTTGCGGAGAATGCCCTTGACAGGTGCCACGGGTTCCTTGGGTGGCTCAACAATCTGCACGCTCTTGCTAGCAGGCTCTGATTCCTTGTCGAGTGTGTCAGGCTCCTGCACCATGCCTCCATTATGGGTGGCTGAAGAGCGGTCATCCCGGGAGCTAGGTGCGTCCCGAGGAGGCGATGCACGTGACGGTTCCTCTCGGCCTCGAGACCTGGATCTTTCACGCTCTTCCTTTCGCCTTCGTCTATCCTTTTCGCGGTCAGAGTCGCTCTCCCGGTCACGGTTGCTGCGACCGGCACGCTCGGCTTCTTGTTGGATGCGTCGTCGGTACTCCTCATCGGGGTCTACAGCAGCTGGTTGTGGAGCAGGCTCCTTTCGCCTCTCAGCATCTCGGTCAACGTAATGACGTGGCCGTTCATCTCCACTGCCTTCAGGCGATGGGGCCTTTCTGGAAGAAACAGGCACCTTGTCCTTGTCATCATCCTGTCGGCGGTCACGGTACTTGCGATCTGGGTCAGGGTAGGCTGGATAGTCGGGAGCAGCAATCTGTGCTGGAGGAGCTGGAGGAGGGGCAGCAGCGGCAGCGGCGGCAACGGGGGCAGCCACGGCTGGAGCTGGTGCTAGAGAGTTGCGGCGGCCTTCAGACTTCCTCTCGCGTCGCTCATCAGGACGGTCCCGCCTGTCACGTTCATCGTATTCCTTTCGGCGCTCTCGCTCTCTTTCTCCAGAAGAGTCACGGTCACTACCTCGTTCCTTTTCACGGGCCTTCATGTAGCTAGCAGCGCCCAAAGTGGCAGCAACGCCTGCAACAGCTCCAGCAGCGGTGGGAACAAAACCATTGCCATCGTATTTGTCATGTTTGCCATGGTCCCGTTCACGGGGACGTCGGTCATAGTCTGGAGGGGGTACGTCGCGGTCACGGGAACTACGAACCTCAGGCATGCGAGCCTCGGCACGCTCGGGCTGATAGTACGAGGCGGCAGGCTCCTGCACCCTGGGTCGGGGAGGCTCTTGAGGAGGGTAGACAGGCTGTCGATCAAGGGCATGATGATCATGTGCAAGGGGGGGAGGGCCGGTGGGGGCGATGCCAAATCCTCGGGATGTGACGTCACGGTCCTCGAAAGTGGTGTTGTGGCGTTTGTTCTCGACATCCCTGCGGTCGTAGTCGTCACGGTACGTGTCACGACGGTGTTCGCGGGATTCCTGATGAACGGCAGCTGGGGCTCGGGAGCGTGTGGAGGATGATCGGCCAAGGTGTGCATCCGGATAGGGGTCATACTTGGGGACTGGGGTTCTGTCAATCGAAGATGACCGGCCATGGACCCGTGGAGCGGGGTGAATTTTGTCAAAGCCTCGAGTGGATGGTGGAGGGCCGAGTTCACGGGTAGAGGTGCGTGGAGGGCGTTCGGCAATCATGCTCGTCGGACGAGAACTGCGCTCAATGCTGCCAGCACGTGGACGTCTCCAGGCTGGCTCTGTGTCGCGGTACATGCTTGCGGGGTCCGTGTAGGAGTAGCCATCGTTACTCATGTCAGACAGGCGCGGTGAAGGCTTGGAGTCATGGTAAGTACGACCACCACTAGTGACATTGTAGCCCCTATCTGCGTGGTCCCTGTGGCGCGAGGCATCGACCTCTGCTACAAGCTTGGTCAAGTGGCTGGTATCATCGACACTGTAGACCTTCTTGTGGGATCGCGAGGGAGCAGAGGTGATATAAGTGTCGGCGCGTTTGTCGTAGGAAGAGGTGAGGGGGCTTCTGGGACGGTCGGCATGGGAGGTGGCGTGGGGCGAGTAGGGAGTGCGGAGGGGAAGGGACGTCTGAGGGAGGGCACTGGTGCTCACGTTGGGGCGGGTCAGGTCGTTTGTGTTGCGGCGGGGGCGAGTCGTAGTGTACGAGTCGTACTTGAGGTTGCTGGTGCGGGCAGCGGCGAGAGAGGCAGTGGGCTGGTTCCAGTAAGGGGAATGAATCGACGAGGCAGCAGCCAAACGATCAACGCTGGCGCGTGGGGAGCTGGGGCGGGCATAGTACGACGAGTCGTAGTATGGGTCAGAGAAGCCGCCGGTGGATGCTCTGGCAGGATTGCCATATGCCCTGCGGGGGGACGAGGGGCGCGTGTAACGCGAGTCCATGGCGCCCGACAGCTTGACCGTCTTGATGTGCAGCGGGGTGGTTTTGGCGGCGGTTTTGGCAGCAGGCTGGGTGGACAGGGAGTTTCTGCGGGGAGGAAGGGGCGGCGCTGCTGTGGGGGAATAAGTAGTGCCCCTTGGGCCCGGCGGGCTGGTGGGGAGGAGAAGGCTGCCCAACATGATGTTAGTGGGAGTAGGTGAAACGGTCAGACTCGGAGAGGCAATGGCAGCAAAGAAGAAGCAGAGAAGCGCATGGCATATGAAGAAGGCGAAGACGAGACGAGGCCTGGCGAAGAGAGAGAGGTCGCAGGTGGACGTACATAAAAGCGTGTCAATGCCGGGCGGGTACCGAAGGGCGGACGCAGGTGTATGTTGGCTCGACGACTAGGAGGCGCGAACCGGTTGCCGGTTTGGACAGACGGACGGTGGGAGCGAGGACGCTCAGGTTTCCCGCGACGAGTGGTGACGCCGGGCGCGGCAGGGGGCGGGGGGGGAAGTGCGCTGCAAGGAGGACGTGGTGAGAATTGCTAGGCGGACCTCTAGGATGTGCCTGGCAGCGATGGGCGCGGTGGTGGGGACTGGCGAGGCAGCGAATGAGGCGGGCGACGCACGAGGGGAAGAGCGTGTGCAGTATGTGTATGTGTGTGTGTGTGTGTGTGTGTGGTGTGCGGCGCGCGGTGTGGTGTGCGGACTAGCAGCTAGTTGGTAATGTGTATGTATGGAGTATGCATATGTCAGTTGTCGGTAGTGGTAAGTATAGTATGTCGCCTGTCTGGCACGAGGTTTTGGGGCTCGGGCTGTGAGAGGGCGACGGTGCCCGCCCGCCTGGTTGCGAGGTTACGTCGGGCGAAGTGCTGAGTGCACTATGTCATCGCTCGCTTGGGCCCGCCGCAGCCCTAGGAACCCTTGGGTATTCCGTGTCCCGGGCCCTGTCACCCTTCGAGCCCCGCCACTCACAGGGTCCGCCGCTGGCCTAGCGGGTTTTTTTTCTCTTTCTTTTTTGCCTCTGCTATGTATGGAGCAGCCCGTTGCATGCTACTATTTCCCACGCTTGACCACCGCTACCACTGCAAGGCTCCACCCCCCTCCAAGGCTGTCCGCTGCTCCTCTGTGTCTGCTGCCCACGGCGGCACGCTTCATTTTGCCTCTGCTCCAGTTTTCCCACCGCCTGTCTGCACAAGTGTCCTGACCCTCGCCTCGTTTGCATCGCGGACGTTACAGGTACCCCATCTGCGTTTGTCATCCGTGCTCCGCCCACGCCCACGCCCAACCGCCCCCCCTCGGGCTCTCTTAGGGCATCCATGGCCCTTGTACCCATACCGCCCAGCCTCATCCAAGGATTGCCCATCCTGCCTCGTGACCGGCTCCTCGTCTGCCGCCTGCCCGCCTGCCCGTCTGCTTGTCGTTGCCAGATGCGGCCCGACTCAACGCCTGTTCGGTTCACGATCTTCACTGTACGGACACGTTGTCCCCATCCTTGCCTGCCATCGATCACTCTACACTGCTCGTCGCAACGGGCCAAGATGTGCAATGGTGCCACTATAACCTCATCACTTGGTCGTTTCATTGTAGCTACTGGTAGACTATCTTACACATGTCTACAAACTAATCCGCCACATGCGCTGCGACGTAAGCACTCGACGCCGCCCCTCGTGTGCTTTTTTGCCATCGCCTTTCCCCGGCTACCCTGCCCTAAGCGTCTTCGATCTGCTCCACGCGCCCTGCCTTGCCTGGCTTGCCGCTCCTGATCGAATCTCGCTCGTCCGCCGTCGCATGATGGTCCCTCAGCTGTGTCGCCCGTGCTTTGCTAGGAATCGTGTCCTGGATACACCCTCTGATAATATTGCCCTCGAACAGCTCGCCAATTGACTCGAGCCGCACGCCCTTGGTCTCGGGAACACACAGCACCGTCCATATGCCCATAGCAATGCACAGCGAGCCAAACAAAAGAAACGTTCCGTACGTAATGTTGTCCAGCATCAATGGCGTAATCTTTGCAATCACAAAGTTGAACAGCCACTGAGTCATGAGCGAGGCCGCCATGAGCAGCGACCGTACCTGGTTCGGACTGCACTCAGACGCCAGCACAAAAGGAATGGGTCCCCAGCCAAACGAGTAGAAGACAACAAACAGGTATACGCACACAATGGCAAATATTGCGTTCCCGTCTAGGTCGCCCGATGGTGGGTGCACCGCCTGGTTGACCCCGATGTAGAACATGGCAAACGCTTGCCCGAGGGACCCGATGATCAGAGACCACTTGCGTCCGAGCTGCTCGGTAAACGCCATTAGCCCAATGGCCGTTACCACAATCTTGACAATGCCGTAGATACCGGTCGCCTATATAGCCACACCGTTAGCACCGTTTCAACTCCCCGTTCATACATACATATATGTATGTACATGTACGTGCAACAAGCCACCATTCGCACTTACAAATAAGCCCGATGATTTACCGGTAAGACCAATCTGCTGGAAGATCTGCGGGGCGTAGTAGTTGATCCTAACCAAGGTCAGCCGCATTCCTGCATCTAATCGAATAGATATCAGAGCCATACGAGTTTGTGCCAGTCCACTGCTGCCAAAACATGAGAATGACAACAAATGACGACCGGTAGAACATCTTCTTGCCCGAGCAGGACGCCTTAATCTGGGCAACCAATGGCATCTTCTCGTGTCCGTTGAAGTCTGCAATAATCTCATCAAGTTCCTCAATAACCTCGGGGTCGTCGACCCTCTTGCCGCGCACTGTAGCCAGCGCCTCAGCAGCCTCATGGATCCGGTTCTTTTCTACCAACCAGCGGGGCGATTCGTTCATAAAAACAATGCCCGCAAGCAGGATGGCTCCAGGCAGCATTTGCAGTGCAAAAGGTACTCGCCATTTGGTGGGATCAGTGGGGCTGGTGATGTGCAGAGCGATGCCGTAGTTGACGAAAAAGGACAAACAGATGCCGGTGACGTTGAAAAGTTGCTATTGTTTTTTGTCAGTCCACCACGCCTAGTCACCAAATTTGATTCAAGCAACCATACCATGCAACCAATGCAACGACCTCGAATTGCTCGGGGGGCATTCTCTCCAATGTAGGTAGGTACGACGGCAGAGATCAAACCAACTCCAAATCCACCAATCACACGTCCGACGTATAACTGGGCAAGATTCGACGTGCCAAGCCCACACAGTGTCTGGATCAAGGATCCGACAATGAAGATGATGTCGGCGATAATAAGCGCCCATTTCCTGCCAAATGTGTCCGAAACGTAGAAACTCGCCAATGCGCCGAAAAAGCAACCTGCTTGCAGTACAGACACAATGTTGCCCTGTAGATTGGCAAAGTCGGGGCTGCCCTTGTGCAGGTTGAAGGAATTCTGGAACGAGTCCATGGTCAAGACACCTGCGCACATCGCGTGAGGTTAGCATACTAAACAAAACCAACGTCCATTGTTACGCAAGTCGCGTACCTCCGATCAAGCCAGTGTCCCAGCCAAACAGCATGCCGCCGAATGAGGCAACGGCAGTAAGCAGGTAGGCCCGGCGGTACAACTTGATGTCCGCCCAGACCTCACCCAGATTAAGCATCGCCATAATTCCTTTTCCCGTTACCCGTCCAATATATCGCCGTCAGCGACACACGCGGCAGTATAAAAACAAGAAGAAAGAAGAAACGTGTAAAGTGTTTGCAATGATAAAGACCAGGGTGGGCGATCTCTCTCCATTTAAATAACAATCCCCCCAACCCCATCCAATTCCCAACGTCTCCACTAGGCCTGCCCTCTTCCCCCAGAAAGACGTACGAGCAAAACCCGTCGCAAAGGGTTCAATTGGCGCCGTGTGCCTATCGGCACAAAAGGCGGCACATGTGACGTCTTTTGGCACGCGCGGGGGGGGGCGACCAGCCATGCGACATTCGTGGGGACTCCACCTTCAAAAGTCTATGTGTTGCCTTGACGCCTAAGCGGGGCCCCAAATTTCTCTCCTAGCCTGAGCTGTCTCCCCAGTGGGGTCGGCAACGTCGGGGACGGGCATATTCCATCCGCTTTGTTCAAACGCCGCTCTGGCTTGTTACACGCACACACATATCCGACAAGAGAATTATTATCCTCAGATATGTTGTAGGAATGGTGATGCGGGTACCTGCGGTGTTGCGCAAAAGAAATGGGACGTAATATCAAGCTTGTGGCAAGGGAACCAAAGCGGCGTGGGCGGTGTAGAGACGGCGTCTGTACGGCGATGCCATCTGCACGTTACATCCTACCTCTGGCTCGGTACCGGCAAGTGGAGGAGCCCTGTTCGCACGCCCGTCTGACAGATCTCAGCCTCTTTTTTTTTGCCTCCATTATTCACATGTGAATGTGCAGCATCAATGTCGAAGAATAGGAAGAGTTGCATCCATCTTGCGATGCTCAATCACCACACTTCTTGATCAAACACCGATGCCAACAAGCCACACCTGAGAAACGCGCTCGCCTTGCCAAGTCGCTCGCCATGCCCGCTCAAAGACCGACCCCGGATCCCACGTTTTGACTCCGCATTCTTGACTCTCCGCATCAACATATGAATCATCATGTTGATTGCCGACGTGCTCAATCTTGCATCTCACCCATACCACTTGCACCACTCCTGCATGACACCCAGACAGAAAGAGATTACGGTATTGGAGGCTATCATGATTCATCAATTAGTCTATCCATTGCATCTACGCTACCAGGCCTAGACCCATCCATATTCTCTATCATCTACATGTTCGCCTTCTCCGTCTTCTGCTCCGGTACCTGCGTCAATAGCTTATCGCTCGTAATGGCCGACTTGAGGTTATCCAGAACCAAGATCTCCATTTCGCGCTGCAACCATGTTAGCTTCTTCCTTATCTTCTTTCTTTTTCCTACACAACATACCTGAGTTTCAAACGTCGCCGTGCCAACGTGAGGCAGCAGTACGGCATTCTCGCACTCCAACAGTCCGGGATGGATCTTTGGCTCCTCCTCGAACACGTCTAGTCCCACAGTCCACACCTTGCCGCTCTTGAGCGCATCCACCAACGCCGCTTCGTCAATCAACGCGCCTCGTGCTGTGTTTACAATGACAACTCCATCCTTCATCTGATTGAATTGTTCCTTGCCGATAATGTGTGTAGTCGAAGGATTGAGAGCCAAGTTCAAGCTCAGCACGTCCGACGTCTTGAGTAGCTCCTCGAAGCTAACGTATTTGGCACCATTTTCCTCGCTCGCAGGCAGCTGGCGGCGGTTGTGGTATTGTATCTTCATGCCAAAGGCCTTTGCGCGGTGTGCGACAGCCGAACCAATGCCACCCATGCCCAAGATACCTAGCGTCTTGTTCTTGGGGTCGTGTCCGAGGGAAAAGTTGCCACGCCACTTTCCTGTTTGAAACTGTCAGCACCGTATTTGCCGTTATCGCAGATCCTGATACCCACCGCTGTTGACTGCCATGTATGATTGCTTAATGTTTCGTAGGGCGCCGAGCATCAGCCAGATGGCGACGTCGGCAGTCGCGTCGTTGACTGCAATTGGCGTACTCGACACCGAAATACCCCTCTTTGTGCATGCCGCAACGTCGATGTTGTTGTATCCTGCGCCATTGTGGCACACGTACTTTAGACTCTTTGGCAGCGCATCAAGCAGCTCAGCATTGAAATCTCCAGTAATCGGGTTCGAGTCGTTACTCCTGTAGAGAGCGTAAACTCCGTCGAACTCGCCGCTCTTGCACTTGGAAATGAAGTCTTCACGGTTGCCATCGGGGTACTCGTGTAGCTTGGACGCGACCTCAGCGCACTGCTGCCACTCTTTCTGCGCATGTGACAGCTTGCCGATTAATAGTGCCGCTCGTTGAGACATGATGTACGTATGTGTGTGTGTGTGCGTGTGTGCGTGCGTGAGTATGAGGCAATGAGACCGAGGTGAAGGCAGATTTTGAAGCCTATCTGAACAAAGCAGAATGAAGAAGAGAAAGAGGCGGAAAAATGGCAAATGTCAACTTTAGCAAAGCGGCATTTGCATCCTCTTTATTGCACCGCCCTGCTCCGCCAACGGAGCACTTCTTACCGGTCCATCTCGGACCGAGACTTCCACCATACAGATATGGTATGCAGTAATTCACTCATTTTGATAATAGCAGGTAAGTTTACTATCGCATTGTCATTGTTTGCTGTCAAGAGTATTTTGCGACAAACATCGAGTTTCTGGTGCTGATACCCCGCCGTAATCCTCAGCAACCCCGCCATCGTCATGGTGATTGCATACTCACTACAACACATGTGCAGGTCAAAGGCCATGTCAATTTCCATCTTGGGCTATTTTACCAAGCCTGATATCAACTCTAATATACCATTTAGAAGATATCACGCGGCAGCTCACCAGATGCTAGGTACAAGATCCAAGGGTTGACCAACGTCATCGGCGTTTGACCTCGAACCTTCAAATGCCGAAACACGACACGTGAACACGCTGTCCAGCCAGCCAATGCACGACACCCGATCAGAACAAGCGTGTCGTATATTACCTCATTGGGCGCCCGGTCTAACCTCGCCATCGGAGCCGAGGCGAATCGCCTATTTCCGATGTCAATCCTCCCGCTTTCTTGCATGGCGGCTCTGAGGCTAGGCAACAAGGCAGCCATGGACCTGAGCTGCCTAGTGAAGCCTGGCTTTGGTATTCAATACAGAAGGAGAAAGACATGATACTATAAGTATGTAGTTGATGGGAGGTATTTTACAGTTGTTTATCAGGATTCTGAGGAGAATACAAAACTGTACATAACGACTACACCGTTTAATTCACTCCCAAGCTCGAAAATTATACTTCACCTTGACCAAGTCCACTATCAACCACCACCCTCATTAACCCCAATCACCACAAACCAACCACAAAAAATGGAACTCAAAACCATCGCAATCCTCGGCGTACGCCACCCTTCTTCCTCTACCCCCTTCCCCATCTAATTCACCCACCCCCACAGCCCGGAGGCCCCCTCGGCACCGCCATCCTCGACGAACTCCTCCAACAACCCTCTCCCACCCCCTTCAAAACCATAACCCTCATCACCCGCCCCACCTCCTCCTACATCCCACCCCCACCTCCCTCCACCAGCGCTCCAACCCTCATCCACAAACACGCAGACTACACCTCCGCCACCTCCCTCCTCGCCGCCTTCTCCGGCCAAGACGCAATCGTAAACTGCATCACGGGCAGCGCAACCCAGTACGCTGCGTACCGCCTCATCATCGATGCCGCGCTAGCTGCAGGCGTGAAATTGTTCTTTGCAAATGAGTTTGTGGGCAACGTGCGGAGTCCACGATACAATCGGTTGCCGGAGGGGTTTGTAGGGGCAAAGGCGCGGATAAGGGGAGAGTTGGAGAGGATGGGAGGGAGGGGGGAGATGGGGTGGGTTGGGTTGAATGGGGGGGCTTTTATGGACATGTGTATGTATCTTCTTTCTTCATCGTGCTTGTTTAGTTTTATCCCTGTTGGGATGGGAGCATTGGCTGTGGAAAATTACTGGGGGGAGGCCCTTTTTTCTTTGGAAGGGAAAGGGGGAATGTTGATACTGATGCGTAAATAGGGCTTACAAAAGGTCCTGGGGGCTTCTCCCTACCTACATCTCACGCCCGTATCTACGGCTCAGGCGACGTCCCGCTGTACTGGACCCCGCTACCCGTTCTCGCCCGCGCAGCTGTACACATGCTGCACAACCCAGAGCCAGTTATGAACCGCGCCATTCATATTTGTCCGTTTGTAGCGCGACCGGGCGAGCCCTCGTGTCTCACGCAGCGTGGGTTGCTGCGTGTGCTGGAAGAGGAGCTAGGCACCAAGTTTGAGATCGAAGAGGTGGATGTTGAGAGGATTTTTCGGCATGCTATGACGGTTTTGGCGAGGTATGAGAAGGGTGAAGCTAGGGGAGAGGGGATTGCGCAGGCGGTCAAGGGGTTGGCGGTTTGCAATCAGTTCTATGAAGAGGAAGTGGGTGCCGGAAAGTCGTTTAGCGACTTGGTTGAGAATGAGGTTGTGGGGGTTGAGACTATGGATGTGAGGGATGCGGTTAGGGATGCTATTAGTCGGTATGGAAGGGACTGCGCTGTTGTTGAGGGTATGTTTAGAGTGGAAGCTTGTGAAGTCTAAGGAACTTGAAGAATTTCTTTGGAGTGATATCACATCACCCTCTCGATGGTTAATTGGACGGAGAAGTCATATGATGCAGAGATGAATCAATTCGTCAATTGTAACTTTTTTTTGGTCGGTAATAGTGTTTTGTTGCACGCTCAAGATTTCCGCCCGACACAGTCATATATGTAAATACCAGCAACCTCCCAGGATACCCATGACAATCAAGAACGGCCCCCTTGCCCTTCCATAACCCAGAATCACTGAGACGGTCCACCACCAAAACTCTGGCCTTGATACTGGTGCATACCCCGTCCAGGTCCATGGCCTGCATCCTCCACTGCCATCGAGTCCCAATCCCACTGATCCATCGTAGCCGTAAAAGGATTCGCATAGAACAAACTCATTTGCGGCTGACCAAACTCGTGCATGCCCGTGTTGGAACCAGTCAGATAATCAGAGCTGGGCGCATTATTCGGGTAGAATCTCCCGGCATCAGGTCGTGGAAAGTAGGGCATATTATTCAACTCATCGGGTCCCGGCCATGCAGGTTGCATGTGCTGTAGTGGATGCGGGTGACTTGTTATTTGATATGACTGCGAACCAGGTTGTTGCGGTAACGGCCCATATTCTTGGCGGCCAAGTGCTTGAGAGTGCTCTGGATGAGGCATTTGCTTCTTGGCAGCGTCTTCTGATCGTTGTCTGCTGAGCACCTTAGTGACGACATTGTATGCGCTCTCGCTAACCGCGTCAACAGTCTTCATCGAGTGAAGCCACGCTATAAGCTTTTCGACACAAGATGTCACGTGAGACTTGTCGATGGTCAAGTGAACGCAATCCAATGAAAGCTCGATCAAAAGCGGGGTGAGTGCTTGCATGACTGCATCGCACAGTTAGCTTAACAGTTCATGTAGTATACCAAGCATGCTTACTCATATGTGTGGCGCACCACCAAGGACCGTTTGCATAATACCAAGAACGGTTCGGGACATCAGGCAGCAGCGCTGCAATGTCAAGAGCCGCTCCGATACAGGCTTCAGCTGTCTTTTGGTTGAAGCGCGAAGACTCTTCGCTCTGTTCTCTTATCCGCTCATCCATTTTACAAACGCAGGGCCGAGTGATGCAGATTTTGGCGTTGTAATAGTAGAGATAGAGCAGCAAGCGCTCGCGATCTAAACTATGATCAACAGTGGCGGCGGCAGCAGCAGACGCGCCCTGTGGCAACGATTGCAAAGCCCAGGTTTCAAGTTCTTCAGAGAGCGAGGTCATCATGCTCTGTGCGCCCTTCCATGACCTGACAGACTTTCGTGGCGAATACAGTCCAGCGAGGATCTTGTCCATGAGAATGTCGAGCCTGACATAGGCTGCAGCGAAGTTGTCCAAATTGTGTGCAGCGCTCTTCTCTCCAGTAGAAGAGCCAGAGACATGGCTGTATACGGAAGCAGTGGTAGAAACATTGCCTGTTGTAGCTTCGCGCGACCTCGATTCCGTCTCGGTCCTGACTGTACCCGGTGGGGGTACTGTGCAGTCGTTGGCAGATATTGCCCGGGGGCGTCCCAATATTGCAGTAAGAACGCATTCGACAGAGTTGAGGGCCCACCACAGCTCAGCCAGTGAGTTTCTCCGGTTGTTGGGAATAGAGGGATTCTCATATCTAAGGTGCAGACCTGCAGCCTGCGCATGTCGGATAGCCATACCGATCATGAACCAGGCTCTGAGCACCATCTCAGCAAGTGTTTTTGTCTCCGGCTCTGGAATATTTCACCGTGGTTTCGAACATACCTGCTAACGTGGCCGATTGTGAGGTAGTATAATGCAAGAAGTCCGATTGCCTGAACCTTATCAGAAGGGTGCATTTCGTAGTTTTCCATGCTCACCTGTATCAGTCGCTGCTCCGGATGCGAAACGAGAGCTCTCAAGTTTTGCAGCTGTAAGAGATGGATCGCTCTCCACATGTAGACCAGATGATCGCGATCGTCCGCTCGCCACTCAGCGTCGACTAGATACGAGTACCGTGCACCAATGGCGAACACAAGGTTCATGACAGCTTTCCACTTGGGGCACACGTTTGCCGTAACTCTTCCATCCTTCTCGTTGAGATAGACTTGTAGTTGTTGCTCGAATTCATCGTCAACGAGCTTGAACGGACTGTGCACTGCATGCTTGTAGTAGCCGAACAGACTCCGTGCTGTACTAGCAGAGGGCACAACGTTGGGATCACCAATTTCGATATCAATGTTGGTCTTGTCGAGGTAAAAGTAGTAGTCGGTTGCAGAGTTCGCGTGGGCCTGCGTATGGCCACTCTTCTGTTGACGCCCATGCAGTGCTTCAGCACGCCGGTTGAAGGCTTCTGTACTGGCTCCAGGAAGCCTGTAGTCCGCAAAGGAAGGCTCACCCTCAGTTTGTTCCACCTTGGACTCGAGTGCACGCAGCCACTGGGCTTGAGAGTTACGGCCCATGAAGCCTGCACTTTCCGCCTCGTTAACACGCAAAAGATCTTCCTGAGCAAAGTCCAGGTCGTCATTTGACCCAACTGAGGCCGAAACAAGCGCCTCTCCGATATCTGCAGAGTTGGAGCTTACGGTGTCGTCATCGAAATAAGAGGTTTGTCTTTGGCGCTTGGAGTGTGACACAGAGGGTACCGAGGGGGTCAGGGGAGGAAGTGTGTCATCTTCAAAAGACGCCAGTACTTCTTGGATTTTATTCTTACCTTTCTCATCCAATTGGCTACTAACATCGTTCAAAAGATCTGTCAGAATCTGCACCTTGCGTAACGCGCTTTCTCCTGTGTCAGCAGAAACCGCGGAGCCAGCGGCATGATCTCTACGCACCCTCGGAGGCGGTCTTTGCGCTCCTGCTCATAGCGGCACGCATGGTCCTTTCCCTGGCGCTGGCAGTTGGTACAGCGCGGCCGGTCACCGGAACATTTGATTTCTGACTGTGGTCAGCGAGCTCTACCTTCCAAGACAACAATGACCACTCAGTCAGAGTAAAGAAGCAACTGAAAAACACAGGTTAAGCTGGAAGAGAGGCCCACTTCGCTTACGGCACTGCGTACACTACCGGCTGTCAGCTCCGGCCCAATGATTATCGGAATGCCAGGACTCACGGCTTTGCTCACTACGTCGGTCCGGGGACGCTGAGGTCGCGCTGTAGCAGGCAAGTGATAGTTGATGTTCTGTAGTCGTGGGATGGCCACCTTTGCATCTGGCCTTGACCAGGAGCTCAAGTGCTCAGGCGGGTAGTGCTGCTGCGTGTTGTCCATAGGTTTAGGGGCTTAAATGGAGCGCTATAGGAGGAGAGATGGCAGCATATCGCTGGACAGGCTCAGTTGATGCTGGAGCTGAGGAAGTAGGAAGCTAGGGTAGAGTGCGTGTCTGTAGTAACGGTCGGGTTCAGCCGCGAAATCATCAAACATACATGCATTTGGTCCAGATAATACTGGGTATTGAAGGAGAGGATTTGGGGATACGAAGCGTTGTGATTGGCTAGGGCACTCATACCGTAGCCAATCACGAGCAAACAAGCAATGTCACGTGTCGGCCGCAAGTGAAGCCACATCAAGGTACGCGGGGCACCTAGATGTGATACAACCGATTATGGTATGCTTCTCGTGCATCTAAATTTACTCGAAAGTTATTCAAGCCAATAGTCTTGCCCATGTTACTGTTCTTGAGTTGCTTTTGATGGGAACCACACATGTACCTCGTTTAAAACTCAACAAGGCTTTGGGCACCGACACCCTACATGGCTACCCCCACCATCTAGGGTTGCAACATGGCCAAATATAATATAAGCCCCAGTGCTCTTGCTTCCACCTGCTAGAGCACCCGCTTGCTCAACTCCTACCAATACTTCATCTCAGCATCCCGTGAACGTGCATCAGACCACAACGATCCGACGGAGCAACTCTTATATCGTCTCTTTTAGTCCGCGGACGATTTTCTAAACTTCCAAGGAACACAACGAGCCAAGTCCTCAACGAGGAGGTATCCAGAGCGTGGACAAGTCCCGTGCTCCCACCAGGAAAAGGAATGGGACGCCGTGGAGGACACTAGACATTAACCAGAAACGAAGCAAGATAGCGCGTCGCTCACCGATTTTCAAGAAAACTCTGCACTTTTCAGCTAACTATCTCCGATAATTCGATTCGAGATACCAAAAAGGGCTTCCTTTATCAGTCTGTGCTGGCATTCGCGGAATCTTATACCGAGTGAGGTTTCTCCGCAGAAGCTAGACGCGCGAAACCATATGTGTGCATCATGGCTCGATCCACAGAGATGTATGGTGGTGAGACATCGTATTGCTAGGGCCCATCTGTTCATGTAAAGTCAACACCAAGATCTTGCTTGTAGGGCGAGGGTCGATTAGCGTATAGCTTCGAGTTGATCTTTTTACGTAGCTTTGTATGCACGGACGCACACCGAACCTACGCATCCGAGGTCTTCTGAAAGTCCAAGCACTCGATCAGCGCCCAACGTTATGTTCCACGCAATAGCAATATCACTGGTTGTGTCGCATCAAGCCACAAACCATAGCTTACAATATGAAGACATCGCGTTGGTCGCTCAAACAATTCTTACAAACTACCATGTGACCGTGATCAAGAAAAAAAATCTAGATTTTCTTATGCAGTCTTAAGTTAAGTAAAGTCTGCGATGAGATAGTATATACAGAAGAAGGTTCTAAGAATAAACTGCACTTTTTAAGCACGGCACATGCGGCCATCTGTGCTGACTTCCCACGCCTCACTACCAACACCCTTCAGGATGTAGAAAACACCCCTGGGGTCGTACTTGGCCTTGATGGCCTTCAGCTTGGGGTAGTTGGCACCAAAGAATGTATCTTGCCAGTTAGGCTGCTGGAAATCAGCCTCATTCAGGTATGCGCCACTGCCTGGAGTAACGGCCTCAAGCTTGGGCATGAGTTGGGTAGTCATCTTCTGCTGGTCTGCCTCCATGGTGGCCCAGGGAGCGGTGGAGTTCCAGTTTGTGATGAGTTGTTGCTGAATCAAAGCATTTCGCCATGCTGGGAATACACTGTTTGGAGGGCTTCCAGCGGGCTTCTTGTAGTTGGCTGTGCTACCAGCAAGCAAGACACCCTCTGCAATAAGCTCTTGATAGACCTTGACAAGGTCCGCAGTGTTGTTCTCCACAACATCGCGGGGAATGAGACGACCGCCAAACTGGTACCTGTTGACCTCATAGGCTCCGCGTGGGAGAGGACCCATGTAGCGGTCGTAGTGGTCGCGGTAAGAGAGCTCACTGTAGACAATTGGTGGGGTAATGCCAAGGTCTGTAAGAGCCTTTGCAAAAGGTGCAAGAACAGTGTCCTTGACATACGCGGCTGTTGAGTCCCAAACAGTGACGGGCTTGAGGACAATATACTGGGTGGAGACCAAGAAAACCACCATGGCACCAGCATCAACCATTCCGGGAAGAAGCTCGATAAGCTTGGAGGTTGCTGCGGCAAACTTCTCGGGGGTGGTAGATGATGCCAGTAGTTGCATAGCAGCACCACCAACCGTCTTGGATGGGTATGCTTTCACAGTCATTGAGAGGACAACAGCATATGTGCCACCACCACCTCCGCTGAGAGCCCAGTAGAGGTCAGAGTTCTCGGTTGCTGAAGCAGTCAGAATCTTGCCTTCAGCAGTAACAACCTAGAAATAAACTATTAGCTATGGTTATTTTTGCCTGTAACATGGAGTTTCTCACGTTGAAAGACAAGGTCTGGTCAGCACCAAGACCAAAGGCAGTGCTGAGAACACTGTGACCACCACCTTGGGTGAATCCTCCGGCCAGACCAACGGTGGCGCATTCGCCAGAGACAACACTCATGTTTTGCTTGTGTGCAGCCTCTAGCAACTCGTTGCCCATGACACCTGCACCAACAGTAACGGAAGGACCAGTGTAGTACTTGTCCGACCAGTCACCGAAGGTAATGCTCTTGAGACCTTGCGTCCAGATAGCAAGAGCGCCAGCTCCAGTGGAGCGGCCAAGGAAGTCATGGCCAGTGTTGCGAACAACAACACGAATGTTCTGATCCTTGGCAAACTTGAGGGCAGAGACAACATCCTTTGCCTGAGTGGCCTTGACAGAATATGAAACATAGTTGCCCAGGGTGCAAGGGATGGTCCTATCGGAGAAAGGATCGCAGCTCTGATTGGCGAAGTAGGACTGCATAACCGAATGCGAGGAGGGAGTACTGCCAAGACGTATCAAAAATCACATCCAGAAGAATATGAATGTTCATAAGTCTTGTACTTACTGTGTAAGAGGGTTCAGCCATTGTGACTTCAACGCGCTGCAAGCGTCGGCATCGTAGGTTGGGTCGTGGCATGGCGAGCCGATGGGGACAGTAGCTACAAGCTTTCCGTTGACAGTTGAGTTAAGGATCGACCATGCTTGAGTAGCCGGCCAATCGGCATCACCTGGCAAACGGTAGCAGTCTGCAGGAGGAGCGTCTGCAGGAGCAGCGTCTGCAGGAGCAGCGTCTGCAAGGCTAGCAAATTGTAACGCTCCAAGGAGCAGTGCATTCTTGGCGAACCTCATCCTGCAAAAGCGAAGAAGAAGAAAAGTATTAGATAGTAGTAGTAGTGGATTCAAAGGAACAAGTTGCAAGCCCTTCATATATACTCGTTGCTTGCCTGAATGTTCATTTCGCACCGCCTCGAACCCATCATCCTTACTTCGGAGACCAGCTCGAAGAAGGCAGTTTAGCGACCATATATGGCCTCGTGTAGGAATGCAGCGCCGGTAGTGTCGACCCGGCGCAGTGTATCCACACGTTGATGCCGTGACAAGACACCAGCCTTGCACTGGGCTGGACTCCGGCGAAACCCTCAAGGCGGAAACTGATAGCCGCAGGTACGGGTCGTCGACCTTCTGCAGGGCATGGTGGGTCGACAGATCAATGGAGGGATTTAACCGGGTGGGTTTACGCTGGGGTGTGGATCCTTTACCGAGGGCCGTCCTGCTACGTAGGATTGGGAGTGGTCAAATTATGGAGACACGTTATGTATGTGGTAGATAAGAAGACCGACGATGGTGGTCGACCCCACCTTTTCATTCACCATGTATTGTTGCGCCATCACCACCATCACCTCTTTGAGCAATATCCCTTGGACCTCAACGTTCTTCGTTGTTGAACCCCTAGCAAGTGGAGGTAAATCGGTTGGGATTTCACAATTGGCTTTCGGTTAGCGTGTGTGGCGTTCGCCTGACACGCCGGATTGTTCCCCACGTGTCGCTAAGGCGGCTGGCACATGAAAGGACCCCTTTATGAACATGGATTCCGTTCTACTCTTTTAGCACATGCAGAGTCCAAGAGACTATGCGACAGCGCCTTCTCACAAAGTTTGCGCTATCGAAAGTGCCATGGTCGGCTATGCTCCTGTACCCGGCAGTTCATACCGATGACGGGCGACGCCACGACTCGTGGGTTTCATTCATGAACTGTTCGTAGAATGGAACCCCTGTGCACATCATACCCCAAGAACACCTTCCGTTTCGAGTCGTGGGTTAAATAGCATTACCTTTGCCGCCGTCGATTCACTCGTGACCTTTTTGCGGTTTCTCGCATACCAGCTACATAGCAGAGTTGAACCTCCATGTACTTGTCCTCTGACCATTCAGGTCTAGTAGCAGCATCAACATGAAGGCTTTTCTCCGAAATTACCTTCTGCTGTGCCTTGCTGCCATCTCAATGGTAACCACGGCACAGCGGACTGCCACATCAGATCTCCCCAAGTGTGCTGTAAGCCACGCTCGCTTCTCGTATCTCGACTTTTGCTGACTACTACAGCTTCTCTGTCTCGGGAGCGCATTCGAGACCAACACTTGCTCTCCCTTTGACCAGAAATGCATTTGCACAAACAAGGTTTTCCAGCAAAACGTAACTCTGTGCGTAAGCACGACCTGCACCGTTCCTGAGGCTCTGGGTATTTCGGATCCACTCCCGTTGAGAAAAAGCAAAAAAGGCTAATTCGTATAAAGTTACACGAAACATCAGCCTTACCAACTGCGGGGCTCCAGTACGCAATCGCGGCGACAAATATGTCGTCTTGTCAAACACGATGCTGTGTATAGCGTCCGCCTTCGTTATCATGCGATTCGCCTTCAAGGTTACCATGTCGAGACTGGATATTGGCTGGGACGACTGGTGCGTCCTTGCGACACTGATAGCCGCCCTACCCAGCGCCTTCATCACGGTATATGGCACTGTCAAGAACGGACTTGGTCAGGATCTCTGGACCTTGACTCCCACGCAAATCACAAACATGCTGCGGTACTTTTACATCATGGCATGGCTATACTTCACCCAGCTCACGCTACTGAAGCTCACCCTGTTGTTCTTCTACATCCGCGTGTTTCCAAGCAAAGATGTCCAGCGCCTGCTATGGGGCACAGTTATTTTCGTCGTACTCTGGGGCGTCGCTTTCATCATTGTAGCGATCTTCCAATGCCAACCCATCTACTATTTCTGGACGAAATGGGACGGTATGCACCACGGTAAATGCCTCAAGATCAACGCAATTACCGCATCAAACGCCGCCATCTCAATTGCCTTGGACTTTTGGATCCTAGGCGTACCTCTCTGGCAGCTTTGGGGCCTGAAGCTGCATTGGAAGAAGAAGGTTGGTGTGGCACTAATGTTTTGCGTTGGCACCTTCGTTACAGTCGTTAGCATTCTGCGCCTGCAGGCCTTGGTGCACTTCGCCGCGTCATCAAACGTTAGCTGGGAGTTCTACGATGTCTCAGTGTGGAGCACGGTTGAGATATGCGTGGGAATCATGTGGTAAGTTAACTTTGTCCGAACCAAGTATTTTTGATTTGCATATCTTGCTAATACATGATTGCAGCGCATGCCTTCCGACACTTCGCCTCCTCCTAGTCAAACTCTTCCCGATCCTCGGTGGCTCCTCGGCACGCAGCCGTCAATACTATAACTACGGAAGCGGCAATGAGCTGCGGAGCGTCGGTCAACAGAAAAGCAAATCATACAACGTCAACACTGCTGTATCAAGCCCACGGACTGCATCCTTTGATGACAAAGTTGAGGAGGGCATCAGAGTCCAGACGTCGTATAATGTCAAGCATAGCAGTAGCCGAGACGATACAGACGAAGCGAGCCTGGTAAGCCACGAAGCGCCACAGAGGCTGTAATGCCGAAATACGCCGTGCGTATCCATCTTATGTTACAACAATAGTTTGAATTAAAGACGGGATTCCCTACCATTTCATGCCATTTTTGTCCTATTTCGCACCAATCCGCACCAATCCGCACCAATTCGCGTGATCGGATGTGCTCCGTATCGCCGTGCATCGATGATTGCAACTTGAAGTTGCTCAAACCTTATCGCGATCAACCTCTGCATTCAAAACAGCTCTTCTGCTGAATGCAAACCATCATCTGGGTGCTGACTGCGGTGATCGACGTACACTGAAACGCACATGCACGCACATCACGGTTCTGTGGTTCGGCCGTCCAAAGGGTAGTGCAGATCATTCAGAAGAGTACCACCGAGATCTTCGTAGGAGATCAGCGCTAGTATGACAGATCCACGTGTCGCCGATCTCTCTGCACGTAACCTCGTATAGAACCTTCTTTGAAGAAAAAAATTGGCGTCTTTGACCCAGAATGCCAACCTGGCATGCCAATTAATTGGGGTCTTGACCTTTGGACGGCAGTCGTGAACATGGCTTGCACACCTACTCGCCGCACGATTCAGGAGGTTTTTCTGCAGTAATAGGAGACGCGGCAAGGCAGCGGGAAGTGGTTCCGGCGGAGTAGAGGCTAGGTATGAATCGCAAGTCTGCTATGGAGTAGTTATGTGGCTTGTCGAGCTGCCGCTGCCACATTGTGGGGTCGATACCTAATAGCCGGAATTCGGCATACCACCCAGCCTTCCACGGACCGAGCTTTCAGCCGCTGCGCCACAATCACGATCGCACACATCGACCACGACAGAAGTCAATGGTAGTAATTTCTATTGCTATTTTGCATGCGTCTATTAGGTTACATAATCATTCGGCAACCTGCAGCATCTGAAAGTATATACACCCAGAGTGGTAATGGTAACGGACAAAAGGCCGCGCTCGGCCGAGAATTAGGTACGCTGGTTAGCTTGCTAGCGGCCGCGAAACTTTGAACCAAGTGACATTGCCGGCAGGTGCAGGTGATGAAGAGGCCGCCAATTATTGGCCTTTTTGCCTCTTTTGCTGCTCTTGCTGCTGCAGTCTTTTTTCGCGCTTGTCTGCGATTCGATGAAATATGCTGCCATCGTATACGGCGCGGATGTCCTCCTGTAAACAGTTAGTCAACGTGGAATACTAGGTGTGGATTCTCCTCGGAGGGCTACAAACTTTCATCATCCGACCATCTTCAGGCCAAAGCATCAGATACGTCGCGGTCCCTAGCGTTGTCATCTGTTAGCCTATTTTGGTCTCTCCCTACCAGCCAAGGACTATCGGATACTTACACTCGAAAATGAAACCACACCAGCCAATCGGATCGTTGATGTTTCTTTGGCCCATCAAAGTATTCTTCAAATCCTGGATTGTCAGGTAATCCCTGCCATCCGCATACTTGGTGAAGATTTCCTCAAACTTGGCCGGGATGAATCGTCCCTCCGGATCGAAAGTCCCAGTGTCACTTCCATGTCTTGCTCTATGTACGTTCTTTAGGAATAGACGGAAATAGGGGTCTGGCAGCCACCCCGGAGATGTCGGATACGAGAAGTTGATATGAATGACTAGAACCGCAAAAGCGGAGAAGAGGATGCCGAGGCCCAGGCGATAGAAACCGATATACGTGTCTTGTGGCCAAAGAATGCCATCGCCGTCACGGTCAAAGAAGTCGCAGTGCTGTTGCAGTACGGTTTGATGAGAGTGTTTTTCAGCCCAGTTGTCTTGTGTGCTTCCTTGGGGCGTATCCAGTGAAGGTGCAAGGTTTGCACGCGCTACCGCTGTGTGTATTTGGCAATGAGCAAAGTGACACGTGAAGTTGAGTCGTGTCAGAAAAGCTTACCTGGATGTGGGAGTTTGGGGTCGTTAACGTCAAACCATGGTTTCCTCTGCGCAGTAATGGGTACCTCGCGTATGGCGTACACGGGTACGCCATCTTCCTGAACCCCAGACTCTCCAGTAATATCATTTAGTTTTGCGATCATGGTGAAGTATTTTCTGTTGCAACTAACAACTAGAAAGAATAGCTTTACAGAAAGATCAAACAAAAGAATTTCAAGTCATTTAAGCCAAGCCATTTCGTCTTGTAAACATCATGTAGAATGCGAGCTGGATGCTCCTATTGGATCGAGTGGTAAACATGACGTCAATGACTTGGGGCTTGGTATAGCTGTGCACAATCTTGAAGGCGAGGGAACCAAGGCTTAGTTTATAAGTATGGGTGTGCCAGAATGATTGCAGTGCATAGATGGGGTAGATGGGGCTGGAAGGTGACACAGGTGTTGCGACGTCTACGAGCTGCCACTGCCTGGGGTCGCAGCCTCACAGCCAATCAGGACATTGCAGATGCGGAATCAACCAAGCCGCGGCCAGAAACATGGCAGCCCTGGCAGATTTGGATATATTCGACTGATCATGCAAAATATCGTCCTGCGTATCCGCTGCCTTGTTATGAGCCCTCATTCTACTATGTTGCAGCTTTACAACCTCATCAATTTCCTCTGGCAAGAAGATGTATTTGTAAAGGTTTCATACAGAGACTATATTATATTTCCATAGGTCTCGATATTCAGATAAGTGAGTTTGAAGACTCTTGGGTGCTGTACTCCGCTATCACCCTGCACCAAGGGCAAGGTATGTAAATCTCGCAATATGAGACGCCGATGGAGCATGAACTTGATCATAGAATACCACCTATATCAATACCAAAAACCTCGCATACTTAGCAATAATATACCTGAAACGACTTTGGAGCAAAACGTGTAGATATGGCCCTGGTGATCTATACTGACTGAATTTGGTTAGCGCAATCTCGTGAATGAATGACGCGCATGCACGGGACCACGGGAATACGCGCCTTGCAAGGTCGCGCAACAACACACGGCCCTCTTGACGATGCAGCAACAGTGGACGTTGTTGGAAGACGGTATACACTTCTAACACAGCGCCGAAATGTCCTGAAATGAATGCGTAACCGCAATGTCGTCGCCGTTACCAGATTTCTATTCGTCCCAATTCTCCATTACCTCGCCGCGTCGCATCCCCAAATCGAACTTTACCTATAAACAACTACACCAACTCAAGTCCTACAGCCCACAAACACCTCTTCGGGTAATCGCACATGTCGATCTCGACGCTTTTTACGCCCAGTGCGAAACCGTTCGTCTGGGTATCGATTCCTCTAAGCCCCTCGCTGTGCAACAATGGCAGGGCCTCATAGCAATCAACTACCCCGCGCGCGAATTCGGACTAAGTCGACACGTTACATCCACCGAGGCGCTGAAGCAATGCCCCGACCTCATACTACAACATGTTGCGACGTGGAAAGAAGGCGACGAGAACTGGGCGTACCATGAAAACAGTTTCCGAGACATGGCGACGCACAAAGTCAGCCTGGACCCATATCGCAAAGAGAGCCGCAAGATTTTGAAGTGCATTAAAGACATCTTACCAGAGAAGGAACAGCGTGTGGAGAAGGCGAGCATTGACGAAGTCTTCATGGACTTGAGCGCGCAGGTACATACTATCCTTTTGGAGAGATACCCCGAGTTGAGAGGGCCGGCACCGTACGACGATCCGACAGAGCCACTGCCAAAGGTCCCAACAACGGTACTAGACTGGGCCGCGGATGCGCTTGTGGGGACAGGTGAGGAAGATGGAGAGGATAGAGACCCGGATTGGGATGATGTGTGCATGGTAATTGCATCCGAAATTGTTCGGGACGTCAGGAAACATATTAAAGAGACACTTGGATACACATGTTCTGGCGGCGTGGCCAGAAACAAGATGCTCGCAAAGTTGGGCTCAGGATACAAGAAGCCGAACCAACAAACCGTCATCCGGAATCGCGCAGTCAAGCATTTCCTATCAGACATGAAGTTTACCAAGATTCGAATGCTCGGAGGAAAACTAGGAGATGAGATTGTTTCCACCTTTGGCACAGACAAGGTTAAAGATCTCATGGAGCAACCATTGGATCAATTGAAAAAGTTGGGTGACGACACAGGCAGTTGGTTGTACTCAATCATCCGCGGCGAGGACAACAGCGAAGTCAATCCACGTACACAGATCAAAAGTATGCTTTCGGCAAAGTCTTTTCGACCATCAATCAACTCTTTTGAGCAAGGTGTCCGATGGCTGCGTATCTTTGTTGCAGACATTTTCTCAAGATGTGTGGAGGAAGGCGTACTAGAGAACAAGCGACGACCTAAGAGTATCAATCTCCACCATCGACAAGGCACTCAAACTCGAAGTCGCCAAGCACCGATTCCTCAGGGCAAGCCTTTGTCCGAAGCAATCCTATTTGACCTTGCAAAGAATCTACTAGCACAAACCGTTGTTGACGGGCGCGCCTGGCCTTGTTCGAACCTATCACTGAGCGTCGGTGGTTTTGAAGACGGCATTACAAACAACAAAGGCATTGGCGGCTTCTTGGTACGAGGCGAGGAAGCAAAAGCCATGATGTCTACAGGCAGAGCCATGAGCAATAGCAGTGAGCCACCCGCAAAGCGAAGACGAACAAAAGGCAACATTGCAAATTTCTTTGGTCCGCGAGACGACAAGAAGAAAGACTTTGACGCGGCAAGAGCAGTGCTTTTGAAAGCACATACCGAGTCCACGAAGGAGGAGTCAGAAGAGGATGAGGATGCGTTGTTTGCTGGCGACGGCGATGAATTCGAAAGACCATCCACACCTCCTCTAAACCGACATAACTCGCATGGGGATATCCACCCTCCTAATACTCCTCCATCAGCCCAACTGCAGTCAGTCTCGACTTCTCCACCTCCACATACCCGTGATGAAACACAAACATCAGCTCCACGCCCAAAAGCACCTGCCCAGCAGAAAACCATAGACACATTTTTCTGTCCCAGGTGTAACATCCATCTGCCGGTTGACGAAAAAGCCGAGCATGAAGATTACCACTTTGCACTCGACCTATCACGTGAAATGCGGCAAGAAGACCGCACATTAGCAACGACACCTTCTGTATCCACGAGTGCAAAAAGAGGCGCAAGTGCGTCAAAACCGTCACGAGGACGTGGGAGACCCCCCGGCGGCGGCGGTGTAGAAAAAGGACAAGCCAAGTTAGCTTTTGGCAAGAGTACATGAAAACGGGTTAAACTTATCATATTTCAACGATTTACGGGTGAGTTTTTCTTTTCAATATTATTATATTCATATCCCGTCATCATGATCATCATCATGCCATGTACTAGCCTTGTGATATTATGTTGATACCAAACCATTACCTTTGCTTTTACTTGAATACCCAATTTCTTCTTAGACGACTTCAAACTCGAGCCTAATTTTCGGCACCTCCTTGCTACCCTCAGGCATGATATACGTAAAGTTCCAAAACTCAAAGTCACTACATTCCGTTAGCTTCTATTCCTCTCTCTCCAAAATCCGCATCACATCAAATCAAATCAAATCCAAAAAAAAGAGAGAGAGAGAGAGAGAGAGAGAGAAAGAGAGAGAAAAGAGAAAAAAAAACTTACTTAATCGTCGCCCCCTTCCCCCCAAACATACCATTAAACGAAACCTCATACGCCAAATCCACCGTCCCACTCACATTCCTAACCTTCAACCCCTGCACATCGTCCCAGGACTTGATATCCCTCTTCCCCTTCCACCCATTGGGCGCGACAAGAAACGAAAACCCAGTCGGACTCGCCGCACCATCCGGGTAGGTGAGTTCCAGACTGCCGGGGCCAACAACAGCTTGCAGTGCTTTGGTCTGCGCATACAGCGTGATCCATCCGACGCCGTCTTTCTCCTGTTCGGGCCGGGCCCACTGTACGACAGCCGGGTTGAAGGAATTCTGATTGATGCTGGGCCCGCCGATTACGTTTTCGGCAAACGAGGTAGCGCCAATGGTTAAGGTGGGGGAGAGCCAGGCGGAGATGTTGCGCGGGTAGGTGTCGTAGGGTGGGGAGAAGGCCGAGGTGGAAACGGAGTGTGTGGCGGGAAAAGTGGTCAGGGAGGACAAGGTAGTGTTGGGGACGAGGTTGTTGTGGAAGGGGGCGAGGATAGCGATCAAGGGGCCGATGGCGAAGTCGTTTTTGTGGCCCATTGCCCACGGTTTCTTGTGCATGGGGGCTTTTTCTTTGCCGACTAGCGTCCACATGTGCAGCGCGAGGATGCTCAGGTAGCGGTTCATGTCGAAGCCGTAGGCGCGGTCCCAGGGCCCGGCGACGTTTTTCAGGTTCGCGTTGTAGAGTTGGCCGAGGATACTCCATGTATCGCGGATCATGCGGGGACCGTACTCGCCCATGATGCTGTCGGCGGGAGAGAGGTACTTGGCCCATAGGGTAAGCGCGTACAGCGAGACACCGGCGTAGGTGCCAGAGTTGAATTCAGACAGCGTGTTATCGCGGGTGAAGAGGTCGATGATGTCTTTGGCGTAGGCTTCACCAGCGCTCGTCATGTTTGCGTCGTTGAGACGGCGGCCAATGTATCCAGAGACAAAGGCGCGCATGATGGATGGATTGCTGTATGCAGGGTACAGATTGTCATCGTCGACGCCACCCACACGATAACTATCGCCAATAGTCGTGTTGTACAGACTCTCGAGAATATACGCTGTCGTGTCTTCCGGGAGGAGATGCGGGAATTCCTCGAGCATAATGACAAACGTGGTGCCAATGAAGCCGCGCCAGTTGGGGTCCCACGAGTTGTAGATTGAGGCTGGGTATTCTGGCGTACCGACATAGGGCTCTTCAGGATACTTTTGGTAATCGCCGTACCACTGCTCGCTCTCGTTCTTGAATTGGCCCTGGATAATGTTGGTCACGATCCTGACGGCCTGCTCTACATCGTCGTTCTCGTTGCGTGCTAGCAGACCCGCGGCATACCAAGCGCTCGACCTGGTATCGTGCACCATGGCAGCCGCGTCCAAGTCGAACAGATATCCTCTTTCCGTGTCATAGTACATGTCCATCCAGTCCATTGACTCTTGCAACAAACTCGTCGTGAAATCTTGCGTCTCATTGCGTGCGACCAAGCTGCGTCCGGCGAAGACATGCTGTGCGAAAAGTGCCGAAGCAACAGACAACCGGGAAAAGGCGACCATGGCGAGCGGTGTAAAACGAACAAGGAATGCTCAGCTCACAAAAAGAGCAGGCCCATCACGTACTTGAGTACGGCGGCGACCTAGGCGGCCAAGCACCAGCATCCGAGGCCATATCCAAAGCGGTACTTGGAGAGGGGTTTCGGTATCTGATATGGCGAGATAACAATGATACCGGTCTACCGTGCTCGTATGGGGCCCGGATAATTGTTGGCTAGTTCGTTCACAGTTGCGGGCTCGTAGTCAAAAGAGGAATGTCAAACCATGACTCGTGCCGACAAAACGTGACGGAACAAAATGACCAACCACAAGCATCGGACCATTTGCCCTTTGGATGGGCAGTTTTGCAAGCCAGACTACAGCATTTTTGCACCTGCACCGCTATAAAAATCGTCCATTGAGGGCCGACCCGTTCAACGTGGGAAAAGAAGCCAGTTCTCTGTTCCACCAGGCTGAACGGTCGCCACGCCGTTCACTTCCACGTGTTGTAGAGTGCAGTCGAAAGCTCTCCGGTCACGTGTCCTTGTTCACAAACCCCTGTTCACGTGCCAGCACTAGCATGTCAGACTTGCATATCTCGGCCGCTACCCTTGTTAGGCGTGTACGATACTTTATCTGCAATCATCACGGTGAGAAAAGTGGAAGCAGCTCGGATGTCGGCAGCCTCGTGGAGACTGAGCAGAGGCTGCAAAGACGGTGGCAAACCGTGGCCGATCAAACGGGGCGGAAATAAAATCTGAGATTCACCACACCCTCGATGCGAGTCATTATAGCGTGTGACGAACATGTGGCGAAGGGCTTGTGGCGAAAAGCTTAAGGCAACCCAGACCGTCAGTAAAGCGAGTAAACACAGGTGGACAATCAACAGAGAAGAAGGCATTGGCATTCTGGTTTTGGCATGCTCATTGTGCATGTGTAAAGAACCGTTCATTCGTTAACATCGATATCGCAACATCCAGGTCGCAGGTATATACATTGCAAGAAAAGCAGGATCCGGAAATAGATGCAACTACCAGGATAGCGATAGCCATCATTGCAATGAATGTCCTGCTGGAAAGGGTGGAAAGATTCCGTGGCAATAGAAATGGTTGCGCACCCCGCAAGTCAAAAAAAATCCGAAGAGGAATGAGAGACGACGCCCAATTTCCCAGATAACGTACACATAAATATCAAACATACAAAGGAAATAAAAAAAAGACCTAATGGACAAGTTTCCATGGGTAGTTTCCAACCGGGTGGCAGATGAATGGCTCATGACTTCAGATCCTAGGAAAATGGCTCTCTATCCGGGTAGTTTTTTGTTTTGGTGGTGGGGAAATGGATTAAACTCCCTAAGGGGGCTTCCAGAAGACAGAAGATGGTCCATTAAAATATTAGGTGGGGGGGTGGCCAGACTCCAGAGCACCATCCAGCAGCGTGGGAAAAAAGGGTATCTCCGGGCTCGACAGATGGACGCGGCAACAACAACAGGGCCGAAAGATTTTTGGAAGCTATGTCTATCTGGTACTGTACCTAGAGGTGCCAGACTGTGGGTTGCGTGACGCCTGCGGTTGTTGTGACAAGGGGTATTCTAGGCAGAAAATGTTAGTTGCGTGGTGCGCAATCATGAATTGTACTTACGCCGACCATCCGAGGCGATGTAGTAGCCTGGAGCGGCTGCCGTGGCACTACGGGGGGGAGCTTAGCGATAGACCAAAAAGGGCTCGTCATAGTAACCAAAATACCTTGAGGCAGTGTACGGGGCGGACTGGGAAGGCGCCTGGCGTCCGTACGGATCAGGAGTGGCGGCCGGATATGACGAGTAGGGCGATTGCGCCGGGTAGTCACGTCCTCCAGGCTGTGGGTATGCCGAGTAAGGATCCGCAGGTGATGTCCTGGGAGCAGAGGCAGCGGGCGAGGGCTGGTAACCCGGATGTGAGCTTCCATAGGTGGATGTGGGAGTCGTGGTGTAGTGCGGGTCACTGCTGGAGTAGCTGCCAGAGCCGTAGGCGGGAGTCCTCGAGGCCGTCGACTGGCGGGGCTGGTCGTAGGGATCGGCAGAGGCATGCGATGCGCCGTGCTCGTAAGGTTTTGTCGGACCCCAATGCTGGCGAGCAGCATGTGTGCGAGAGTCCTGATAAGCCACTAATGAAGCGTTAGGGCCGGCTGATACCTTTGTAGTGCGCACTTGTGGACTGTGGCTACCTCCGCGGCCCGTCTCGCCAGGCTGTCTTTCCTGCTGCCAGCGTTGGGAATCCATCTTCAAGTCTTGTATCATTTGCTGTAGCGAACCAAGTCAGTGTTGTGTTCGGGGGGGAGAGGAAAGAATGGTGATGGGTGAGAAGAGCGCCAGTCAGTCAGACATACCGATGTGAGGGTGCGATAGGCCGTTATCCAGTAGCCAGGTTGGCCCTATGTAGTTTGTCAGTAGTGCTCCGTAGTGTGGACATCATGGCAAAAGTTGCGGACCTGGTATTCTCCGGTGCCTGTGCCAGGCCTGACGAGCGCATCTGGGCCCAGGTAGCGCTGGATGTCGGCCGTGATTACTTCTCGGGCGATGCCTTCACCAGGCACAAACCACTGATTTGCGCGCGACATGGTTGAGAGCGAGATGTGTGTGTGTGTAGGAGTGTCTGTGGAGAGGTGATGAAAAGAAAGATGACGCTGTTGTCAATGCCAACTGTTGGGCGGCCAAGCTAAGGGAGCTAGTACAGACCAGGAGGGACCTTTGTTTCTCTCTAGGGGACCAAGAAGGAGCTCCAGAAGGGTGGTTGGACAGAGGACTAGTCACGTCGGGATGACGATGCAGGCTGGTGTGAGAGTCCGGGGGTAGGGGAGCTATCAAGACCAAGGGATGTCCAGAAGAGTTGGTGGAAGAAGATGCAGCACGCAGGAGCGGGGGTTTGGACCAATATACCGGCACTGGGAGGCGTGCAGCCTGTGACAGAGTGGACCTTTTGACGGCGTGGCTGCCGGGGACCGTTTTGGGATACCGAAGGTGATGGGATCCAGGTTCCTGGCCAGGAGAGGGGAGGAGTAAGGTTTTTGCTGTCGGAGGATCACGACAGGAGAGTGCCTAGAGGGATACTAGAGACTATGCGAGAGGCGATATTGCGCACTTTCGCAGGCTACGTTTGTTGAGGGGAAAGAGGGAAGGAGAGAGCGTGTTGGCTCGAGGAAGGATGAGCTTGAGCAGAGCCGCAGGTGAGGGTTGGGCGCAGCGAGTGCGGGGTGATTGGCCGAAGTAAATGGGCTCAGCTGGGAGCTGGCGCAGATATGCACGTCAGTCGGCTGGGAAGAGGGGGGCAGGCTCTTCGGGCAGCAAGCAGGCGAAGGGAAGGATTTCTTGGTAGGGGAGGGGTGGTGTGGTGTAGTGTAGATGTGGGAGAGAGAGGGAGGGGGGTAAGAGGGCAGACTGGTGCAGCAGTAGTGGTAGTTGCAACAGCAGCAGCAGCAACAAACAGTCAAGCAGCAGCAGCAGCAGCTCAAAGCGGGCGGACAGGCAGGCAGAAAGAAAAGGAAAAGACTAAAAGAAGAGGGGCGTACCGACGGCAGGCGAAGTTATTATTCGCGTGGGCCCAAAGACGGCGGCCATGGGAGTCTGGCGCGATTTGGGTAGCAAGGGCCAGAGTGGAGTGGGAGTGGGCGAAAGGCGAGGGTGCAGCGAGTGGTGTGGAGACGGGCAACAGGCCCTGCCATGGCGCCGCTTGGGCATCAACTGCCACGGGCCAGCGCCTGACGGTCAGCAAGCTAGCAGAGCACATGTACCACAGACCCGCTGTCGCCCGTCTCTGAAGAATACACTATTTGCCTTCAGACGGCTCCTTTGGGTGTCGGACGTATGTCGACATATGCGTAGAATACAGCAACTACCAAAGTAGAAAAGGGCACATTACCACACAGGCACACGGCACCACTGGCTGCGACGCCTCGACACTTCGCCCTGCGCCACCATTGGCCGACACCGCACACGACTCGACCGCTCCAGCAGCGTGGGGACGGGGGGGTTTGGTTCGGGCACAGCCGACGGCGGCAGATTTTACGGTGGGTTTGCAAATGCAATCGACATTGGCTGCGTGTGTGCCAGTGCCTGTGCCAGTGCAGAGTGTCAGGCCGGTGCCAGCCGCTGCGTGTGGGTTGGCCGGTGGTGACGTTGGCATGCCGCTGTTGCTGCTGCTGCTGCTGCTGCTGCTGTGCTGCTCCAACTACCAACTATGCTCTCGCAGCCTGTGGCCTCACCGACATAAGGCACACACCCACACTCACTCCCTCACACTCGCCCAGTAGGAACGCCTCCCCCGTACCGCGAGCCTTGGGCCCATTCCCTCCGCTCCTCCATCGTGGCCGCTTGCTATTAGTCGACAAGTCTCGCCCACCCACTCGCTTTGCACTTGGTCTCATCAGTACCGTCTGCCCTGCCTCAGCCAGGCCTGGCGGGCACGTGTTTGTGTGTCACCGCAACTGCCCTGCTGCCCTGCTGCTCTGCTGCTCTGCTGCCCTGCTGCCCAAGCCCGCATACCGCATAACCACCCACGTCACCCCCCTCGTCCCTAACCCGCCGTCAGCCCGTACTCTCCGCCCCCGTGAACCTCTCCAAGGTTCTTCGCTGCTGGTCCTGCATCCCATCTACCTACCTGCTTGCCTCGTACATCATACTCCTCGCACTACCACACACACGCGCTACTTAGATACATCACTACTTACCGTGTACCTCTCTAGCATCTGCATACACACACACACGTTCCCACCACCCCATCGGCGGAGGCTCCCGGATATGCACTGTTGGTGGTTCCTCGCTCCAAAAAAGACAGGACCCAAACAAATCGTCGACCCTGTGAATCGACCCGCCCGCCTGCCCAACCACGCTATCACCAACCTGGCACAGTACTACTACCACTAGAGTACACCTCGCTCGCCGCCTCTTGTACACACTCTCGGCCAGGCCAGACCACACCACGGCTGCACCACCGCACATTGCGCCCTTGGCAGCCACTTGCCCCAGCCACTCCCGCAACCATAAACCCTCGCCGTTCCTGTACCTCGACCGCCCTCGACCCGCCTCTCACGTGGCCGGACCTCTACCCTCCTGCTCCCATGTCGGCACTCACCTTGGACACGCACTTGGGCTCTGATGTTATCAACCTGTCGCCCCCGGCCCGAATCCACCCGGACCTTTTGCTTCCCACGTATGCGGGGTCGGGTCCCACGCTCATTGTCTGCACGTAGATTGCTTGATAACTGCCATACGCCCAACCCACAAACCAACATGCGCCTGCCTCTGCTGCACATGTCCAACCGCCCGACGTTGATAAGTAGACGTACTCGGCCAGTACCTGCCCATCGCCCATCCATCGCCCTACCTTCTCCCAATCGGCGCCACACACACACACACACACACACACAATACACACATACTTGCTACATGTGTCCATGCTTTTACCGACACAATGGGAAATAAAGCATAGCCCAAGCATGGACATACTCGCATCTACTTACCGCAGCCTGCCACACTGGAGCCCAAAAGGCCGATCGCATATCCGCCCTCGTGCCCCAGACTGCCCTGGCCCTCTTTCCCATGGTCCAAAGGCCCGTCCGCCCCAGCCGTACTGTGACGTTTGCCAGCGGGATCTTCATTCTTCTGCTGACCGGCTGACGTACTCTACTCCTTCTTTGCCGCTGACCAATTGCCCCCCAAACATGTCTGTTGCCGGTAATGAGCGACTTTGCCGTCATACTTAATCTAGCCCCCCATGTCCATACTACTCTCCCTTTGCATGGACTTGCCTTGCCCGTGATTCACTACTGCAGACACGTGTTTTGGATCCATTTTCATGTCCAATTCCATGTGGTGACGCCCAAAGTCTTGGGAGGAAACCTAACTCCCCACCCAACTATAACCTCTCTCTCTCTCTCTCTGTGTCCTTTTCTTTCTTTTCAAAACTCAAAAAATGAAGAGAAAAAAAAGCACAAGATAAGGTTACATGAGGGCTGCAAGTGGCCCAAGTCTAGATCTCGAGTGGCACTTGCAGCCCGAACAAATCATCATTTTTTCCCCCGTAACGTGACCTTTTTGTTTTTTGTCTGCCAATCAATCACCCTTGATCGTCACCCTTTTTTTTCTCCCTTTCGTTCAGAACCATCTTCAGTAGATCGCGGAAAAGGGAGATAACGACGATTCCCCATTTCTTTTCCATTTACTTAGTTGATTGCAAAAAACAAAAAGACAAGCTAGACCAAGAGATATAGAGTCAATATTCAAAAGTCAGAATTATAAAGTCTTCTCTCCTCCCCTTTCAAAATAATTGTCGTAATTTTTGCTTCCCCAAAACTCAATTTCCTCTCTCTCTCTCTCTCTCTCTCTCTCTCTCTCTCTCTCTCTATCAACTCGTAAAATCAAAAATTCCCATGACTCGTATATACATTTGTTGCCATTCTCATTCTCATTTCCATTTCATTCCTCCTTCATACAATCTTGTCTCTCTCTCTCTCTCTCTTCTCCCTCGATATTAC